TGTTCGTTAATATCTCAGGAGTGATCCTAATTAGGACAGAAAATAAACTTGAGTTTCTTCGGAGCCAGTATTTCACAAATTCTTCTTCGAGTTTCCATAACGATTCTCCGAAAGAGGACCAACTCCAAAAAAAATCATAACTTTCTTTCTAGAGGTCTAAAAATCTTCCTACTTTGATTTTTGGGTCTATGACGTCATTCCCTATCGATTGATGTAAAAAAATCTGGAAAACTTTGGTTTTTCGGGAAAATCGAAAAAAGTGCAGTCTAACCCCTTAGCTTTTTTTCGAGCTTCTGAGGTCATGGAAGCCGTTCAGGACGAAACCTATATCAATCGATAGATCTCGACGAGAAAATAACCGGAGACCAGGTTTGACCTCCGTAGGTCAACTAGGAACTGAGTTAGAGACGATCAAACTTGGAGATCGGAAATCGCAATTTCCGTCAAAATTGGTCTCAATCGATAGAGGAGATCACGGAGGTCAGGAAAAACTTGGTCTCTGAGTTCCTAGGTTCCTAGAAGTCGAGTTATGAATAATAATGAACTTTGAAAAATCATATCTTTTTTTGTAGGAAGCCAGGGACTTTACCACCTGGATTTTTGGACACCTGACGTCATTCCCTATCGATTGATATAAAAATCTGGAAAACTTTGACTTTCGGGAAAATCGAAAAAAGTGCAGTCTAACCCCTTAGCTTTTTTTCGAGCTTCTGAGGTCATGGAAGCCGTTCAGGACGAAACCTATATCAATCGATAGATCTCGACGAGAAAATAACCGGAGACCAGGTTTGACCTCCGTAGGTCAACTAGGAACTGAGTTAGAGACGATCAAACTTGGAGATCGAAAATCGCAATTTCCGTCAAAATTGGTCTCAATCGATAGAGGAGATCACGGAGGCCAGGAAAAACTAGGTCTCTGAGTTCCTAGGTTCCTAGAAGCCCGGATATGATTTTTCAAAATCTCAAAATTGACCCACTTTGAAGGGCTTCAACTCTGGTTCCAGGGACTTTTGAGTGATTCAGCTTTGGTTTCTGGGCACAGTACGTCATTCTGCGTCGATTGAAGTAGAAAACTCCTACATTAAAAATTGCGCTGGAAGTGCAAATCTAAAGGTTCTAAATGAAGCTCAATGTTTTCATTACGTCTATTATCAGAAAGCTGACGGCGAGACAAATCGATTGATATGATCAGATAAGAGGTAGCTGCTCGCAGAGCCGAGATATGAGCCTTTAAAAATCTCGTAAAAAATGAAACTTGCGCGTCAGGTGAAATGCCTTGTATGAGGCTGCGCGTCGGGTCAAGTGCTAGTCTGAGGCTCTCATCGGTGTGGTTTCTTCCCGAAAAGGGTAAAGCTCGAGAAAAAGTTCGACTTTTTCAACTTTTTCCTAGTGCTATCGATAGAGCAGCTTCCATATAGTACTGTTATCATATCAGTTTCTAAGGAAAAGATCAAAAATATGTGAAAATCAGGTCTGAAAAAAGGACACTTTTTGGACTTTCAAGCTTCACAACTTTGTTCATTTTCAAGATACAGATTAACTGATTACATTAATCGATTCGTCTTATCATCAGCTTTCCAATAATGTGGGACTTCAAGGATTTTCATCAGCTTGAATGACGTCACAGATTTTTCCAGCTTACAACTCAGCTTTTTTTCCAAATTGAAAGAAATCGTTATCAATCGATAGAGCCCATTGAGACGGATCCAATATTGTATTTCAAGCCTTGATAACTTATAAAAATATTGACTTGTAAGCTGAGACATGTCTGGAGCTTCTGGATAAAGCTCAATCCGTTGAAAAGCTACGTCTTTGGAAAGCTGACAATGAGAAAAATTGACTGGTATTTCTAGCTTCTCGGTATCTTAAAACAAACGAAATTACCAAGCTTGAAAGTCTGAATAGTTCCGTTTTTTGGACCTCTTTTTGACCCAATTTTTGAGCTTTTTCTCAGAAACTGATATGATAACAGTACCATGTGGAAGCTGCTCTATCGACTGCACTAGGAAAAAATTGAAAAAGTCGGACTTTTTTTCGAGCTTTTCCTTTTTCGCGAGGAAATCACACCGATGAGAGCCTCAGACTAGCACTTGACCCGACGCGCAACCTCATACAAGACATTTCATCTCACGCGCAAGTTAATTTTTTTCGAGATTTTTGAAGACTCATATCTCGGCTCCCCGAGCAGCTACCGCTTATCTGATTACATCGATCGATTCGTCTCATTGTCAGCTTTAAAATGATATAACTTGTCACTCATTGGCTGGGGGACCGTGTTCGTGAATAGAAAAGAGACTTCCCTTACTTGTTCTTGTTCCAAATCGTGTTTCCTTTGAAAAAAAACCGGTTTCATTTATTAAATTTGTCAAGTTTTTTCTGACTATTTTGGAAACCTTCGCTGAATCCTAAATGTTTAACACTTTATTTTTGAGGTAAATTACACGTAATTAATGATTAGATGACATCAGCGGTTTGGGGATCTTCGAGATGGGGTTTTGCGATTTTTGAGTCGAAATTGACATGTACGCGTTCCAAAGCAATGCGACGGTCTGAAATAAAATTCATTTCATAAATCGGTGCCCATTTTGCGAAATGAAAACCTGGATCAAGAAGATACGGTAATTGAGTGGCACCAGATAGAAGTTGATCAATTGGACGGAAGGCCAGACCTTAAGCCGATTTTTTAAAGAGATATTCAGTTAATTTCTGGAACAATTGAAGGTGCGAATTCAAAAATTATGTCATCGCAGAATCGTTTCTAGCGGTATTTCAAGCTTTAAAAAGGTTTGCAAACTCGCTTTCTAAATTATTTTTGAAAAAAATCGTAATTTAGAAATGAATAGTTCCGTAAATTATTTCAAGCGTTTCCTAGGGACCACTAGAATTTAATTCCACAACATAATTTTTACGAAACGCTCTTGAGAAAAAGGTAAACTTCAAACAGAAAAAGAAAAACTCACGAATAAGCTATTTTTATAGATAGTACCAAAAATCTGGTCCCATTTCTCCTTTGATTCTTTCAGAGAATATCCTTCCAAAAGCCACAAATTTATCAGGGTTAGGGAACCGATAACTGGACTGAAAGCGACCTGAAAATTCTCATTTTTTTATTTTCTGTGAGAAAAAAAAAATAACCTGATCAAGAAAAACGCGTATTAGCGGATTGAACTTAGGCCCACCAAACTTCACTCGTTCCAAGAATCGGAGCCACACAAACTGGGCGGGAACCTAAAAAGAAATTCAAAAACTGGATTTCACGAAAATATCTAAAGTTAGTAAAAAAAAGCTGACAATGAAGCCGGCAGTCAGAAAGAAAAATCGGGCAGTCCGCAATTTGTCCCATTTCGGTTCTTGAGTGATATATTGGGCCAGTACATCGCCAGCAGCGCCAATTGAAGCTGAAATAAAACGTGTACTGACCAGGGAACGTTTTTTACCCCCCGGTTGAACTTTTGCTGAAACTTTGCCGAAGTGTACTTTAGGACCCCCTGATTCCAGAACAGGAAGAAAATTTCTCGCAATAGATCTCGTTTTCGAGTTAGGACACTTCAAATACCCGAAATAGCGCTTTTTTGGCCTAATTTGCGTATTATGCATACTTTGAAGCTCCATAACTCGGAAACAAGATCTATTGCGAGAAATTTTCTTCTTGATCTGCAATCAAAGGGTCCTAAAGTACACTTCAGCAAAGTTTCAGCAAAAGTTCAACCGGGGGGTAAAAAACGTTCCCTGGTGAGCAACTTGAAAAAGCGAAAAAATCTCAATGTATCGAAAAAAAGGGAGCAGCTTCTCAGAATTTCAAAAAGTCGCTGTACTTTCACTACTACTCCATTAGGAAAGCTTAAATCTGTTTCAAAAATTGGCTGAAATTTTGTATGGGCCCTATGGCACTAAAGTTTGGCGTGGCCTGAAAACCACTGAAAATTCCAGCTCACCAGTGGGGTTTTCTGAAATTAGCTTATACGCTTTAAAAAACAGCAGAAGATACTGAAATTTTGATGTGAAAGTAAAAAAAATTTGACAGGAAAAATTCAGATCGATATCGGTACCATCAACGAAATAAAAGTCAATCTCCACCCAACATTAGCGCTTTTGAATCTATATACTGAAGGTTTTTTCAAACAAATCTTTGAATTTTTATAGCGATTCATCTAATCAAACCATTCCGATTCAATTCAAATACTACTTTCGGATTCATCCATCAAATCGTAGAGGAAAAATAAAAAAAGACCTACCAGAAACGACGACCTGAGTTCTGAACGGATGAATTGCGAGTTGGCGTTGAAATGCACGAATCATCTTCAAAGTTTTTTACGGAAAAATCTGAAGAAATGAAGAAAAAGAATCCGAACGCCACAACGGTGATGAACAGTACGAAAATGAAAGAAAAACAACAACAATGACGTCATTTTTTTGTAAGATTTTTTTCAAAAATAAATTCTTTAAAGTTTATTTATCTTTTTTTTCGAGAAGCTGTGGAAAATTGAGCTTTTTTTCGCGTTAGATGTGCAGGTACCTAGAAAACCAGTATCTTAAATTTTAAAAAAAATGTTATTGAAGTTTTTTGTGGTTTTATTTTCCGATTAAAGTTGACAACATGATGTAATCACTAACATATTAATTCTTTGAACAAATATTATAATTCCTACTAGCTACTTGGTTCTATTTCAAGTTTTTTTGTTGTTGTTTTTCGAAGGAAGAAAATCAAAAATGAGAAGAAAACAAATAATTTTTTGTTGCTGAAAACTAGTTTTTGAATAACTTTCTAAACATTCCGAGCTTTTCGAAAGGACTCAAAATTTATTTCTGAACTTTACATTTCCAAAGATGGCTTTGAAACACGGTAAAATTGAAAAAAAAAATCCCTAAAATGCATCAAAATGACTTGATTCTAAAGATTGAGATCTGTTAAAAATCATTTGCAATCCGCCTAGTATAAATTAAGGTTAGAAATCAGACCTGAATCATATAATTTTATCAAAAAAACAACTGAAAGTTCTATGATTTGAGATAATAAACCAAAAATTCCAGAAAAAAAAATTTCCGAAGGTGAAGACGTCAAAAATTGAATTTAAAGGTTTTTAGCTGGAATAAAGGCTGCAAAATCAGTTTCGAACTTCACGATCAATGGAAAACTGACCTGAAAACGTGGTAAAATCGTAAAAACTCACAAACAAAATCAAGTTCTTTTTCCGAGAAAACAAGCCAAAGAAGGCGGAACTGATGGCGTTGATGACGTCGAAAAAAACAAATTCTCCTAAAAAAATTCGATTCCAACAGTTCGCATGCGCGAACTTCTTTCTTTTCGATAGAACAAATGAAATAGAAAAAAATTTATTCGGAAAAAAAATTAAGTTTTTTTGGTCGTTACATGGACATTTGACATAGAATGGGATATTTCACAGGTAAGATAAGAAATTATATAATTAGTACAGGAAAATGCAAAGAAGAAAATTCATCAATTTCCGTTTTGGTTAGTAGTGGATGTAAGTGAACTTCGGCGAGGTTTTAAGCGAATAATGGTACCAATTGCTATTTTTGGGCGAAAATCATCACAACACGAGTATTTGGGGAAAAAAGACATGAATAACTAATAGAAATCCTTTTGAAAATAACTTAAAAAGTTTATAAATTATCGACAATGTTCGACTTCCAGAATCCAACGGTTCCGTCTCTGAAAAAAATAGTTTTTTTGCGAAAAACATTTTTTTAATCGAAATTTGTTGATTATCCGTAGAGCATCCTTTACCCAGTAAAAAAATCTCATTCTTTGTCGCAGTTCAATTTTTTTCCTTCATTTTTGAACCAAGAAAAAGTGATTTAACGCGATCCCTTTCACAAATTTATTAATTATGAACAAAAATACCTAACCTGAAAATTTTAAGGACCAAAAAAATCATCAAACAAACCCAGAAGCAGTGAAAAGCATCGAAGGCGTCGAGCAAATTTCGTTGATCGAATCCGAATGAGCTTTCGGGTACTGAAATTCAATGATTTCATTCGTATTTTCCAATTTTAAGTGTTAATTCCAAAGAAAAACGTTCTAAACAACCTATTTCGAACCAAGAATCGAAAAAATCCTTCGGGTCAAATTTACTTCAATTTACGTCATTTTCAGCTTTTTCAATCCATTTTTTTTTCTGTTTCAAGGGTAAAATATTATAAATTAGCATAAAATTAGTATCTCAAGTTATTTCAAAAAAAAAAAAACTTAAGATAACTAGCACCAATTTTCGAGACATGTCTCTTTAATTTCTCTTCAAAACCCACGTCTTCAACAAGTCTCATCCTTTGGGACGAGGCGACGTCCCAAAACTTCATCGTTCCTTCCTTGCAAGCCGATACCAAGTATTCATTTCCTTTGGGCTGAAAAATATAGTTGTACACGATGATATATTCGATACTCTTCATTGCCCAGGATTGTGCTTCAGATTGGGCGGCCTGGCCCAAGCTTTTGGCTTAATTTTATACAAAGTTTCAGCCAGGCCAGCATCCCAACTGAAAAATCTCACTGGTTAAGTCATAGTTTCTGTCAAAATTCAAGTGAAAAAAACCAAGACATAGATTTTTCAGGAAAAAGTTCAAAATTTGACTGTAAGAAAAATTTTTTTTTTTGGTGTTCGTGTAACATTCTTCTTAGCTTCAGAGACGGAGCAACTTCTGTAAATTGGCAGATGTAGTGGATAAGTTGGGTTTTTCTCTCGATCTTTATTTATCCTATTCTCGTCTGAACAGAGTACGCAATGAAACAAAGTCTTCCACTACACCAACCTAACCTTGAGTTAAAGTCGAGGCGAAAAAGAGCCAGAAAAAAGTTACCCCAAATGAGGCCAAGGACTGAATGTACTGCTGATGAGCCCGCAGTTCCAAATGATCGCGTTTGTTGTCGACCAGGGAGAATTTCATGATGTTCTGAAATGAGATAAAGTTGAATATTATGAAAGTTTGACTTGAATTATATGAAAGTCGTGAAAAATGGTTGCCAAAAAAAGGCCTTGAATAATTTAATTTCGGAAAGAATCGGATTTTTCTAGAAAAAAAAATAGCTCCGGAAAATTTCAACTTAGATCTCCAACACAGACTCAACTCGGACGCTTCTGAGCATTTCTATAGCCCCTTTAGCGGCGTCATTAACTGGTTGCTAGAAACGCTCAGGAACGCCCGGTTTGATTGTGCAACCGAAGTCCGGGAATCCACAAGTTGAAAAATTAGCCACAGAGTGCAGAAATCTCATCTCTTATTTTCATCCGATCAGCTTACCAAATCCTTCGAAGCCGTGAACAAATGTCCGCCCATCGGATGGACACACGTAACGTTGTCATAGTGCGGCGGGTTGTACTCCACAGAAGCGTCATAGACGCCTTCTCCTGAAGAAAAACCAATGGAAAAGCTAAATTTTTATAGTTTCGCTAGAAATCAAGTTTTTTTCTACAATTACAACTTCAAAAATTAAAATTTCGAGCCTAAACCAGCCAGCCGCGCTGAAAAAGCTTATCTCGAAATTTTGAGTCGTCTTACAATAATCAAATGTGCTTGGCTGACAAAACACGCGGTATTGAAATTCAAAAGTTTCACCTTCTTTTTCAATTTTCAAAGAGAGATGGGGATGGAAAAAAACACCAAAAAAAAGAAAAAAAATCCTGTATTTTTTTGAAATTAAAAAAATTCGGGATTTTGCCACATTTTCGAGAATAAACGCACTATTTTTTTAGGCTTTTTTTAGACCTCGTGACATTTTTCCTACTTTTTTTGCGTTACGGAAAACAATAATAAAAAAATTTAAAAGTTTATATTCCAGTTCGAATTTTTCAAAACCCTCCTTTTTTTCTCACAAGACCAACCTCCTAGAGACGTGACTTCGTAGGTCTTGACATAATGATCCCGGGATCCGGTGTAGGCGACGATATTCCCTGCCGAGTTGATAGTTGTCGAGAGGCAGGAAACTTCAGATTTTGGGCTGTGCGTGGCGGACGTGAGGCGTCCGAACGAGGCCCATCGGTCGAGGTTCCAGATGCGGACGTCGCCGGAGAACGAGGTGAAGAGAAGACGTCCGGTTGGTTCGACGTCGGCCGCCGAGATCATCGTCTCCAGGAATGGAATCGTATTCTGGCGCGGGGTTGGCGGCGCCGTGTCTTCTAAAAACATTTGATTTCAAGTTTAAAGTAATTTTGATGCAAAAAAAAAATGAATTCTCGTTTTAAGAGTGCCAGATTCAACTGAAAAATCCTATCTTCGTTGCTTTTTTCTCTCTGTGTTATTTCGAAAATGACTAAAAAAAAAGCGGGAAAAAGAGAGTTTGAAAATTTTCGGTCGAAAACCACTGAATTTTAAAAACAGCTCATTCATAAACTTTACAACCGTCCAATTCTGATACAGACTGATTCTTTTTTTCGTTTTAATATTTCTGGCCTCATCATCTCTGATTCTAAACCATTCTTACGCCAATCGTTCCACTAACTTTCTTTTGAAAATAATTCATTTTTAATTTTTTTTTTTTGATGAGCCAACGGCTTAATATATCGTTAGTACGTGAAAAATTTAAAAAAAAACCAATTGAATTCCGAGAAATTATTTGAGTTACATAGCTAGGTGAGTAAATTTCCTTGAAAGAATTACTTAAGATCCAAAAAATTAGTTCTTCTAAAATTAGAAAAACAGTAAAAGTGTTATAAACAAGAATATTTCCCAAAGATCGATAACACGGCGTTTTTTTGACGACGCCCCGCCTATATTTTTCCGTAAAGTGTAGTGTGTCGTGTGCATGCACTGCGGCTCTCTCTCACATGCCGTTTTCGATCTAATTTTCGCGAAATTCATAATCGTCTCTGAATTTCCGAAACTCGTCTCATGACCCATTGAGCATGCGCCTTTAATATTCCCTCTTGTTTAAGCCTGTTTCTCAGGACGTCACATGGGAACGGCGGAGGTTTTGACCACGCCCCTTCATTTTTTGTTTTGCATTTTCTTCCACTAACAATAATGCCGTGATAATCAAAAAATCTAGAATATTATTGACAAACCATCATTCGTCTGGCCGCTGGAGTTCAGAACCTTCACACAGACACATTCAGGGGTTCGATAGTCCCAAACGCGGACCTAAAAATAGTTTTTCCTATGAATTTTAAATCAGTTTTCAAACCTGATACATAGAAATGGTAAGAACAAAGTGGCTTTTCGGCACGAATCGCACCAGATGAACATTGTTGGGATGAACGCCAAGGGTCCGGATTTCCTGGCCCTTTTCCAGATCCCACAATTTCGCTGTTCGATCTAGAAAATAGGACAAAGTTATGAATGATTTTGAAGACAACGGAAGGAAAGATAGGAGCACATAATTCTAGGAAAGACAATAAAAAAAATAGTTGCTTAACTATTTAATAAAGGTCATTTTACTTTACGTTTGGAAACTTCCTGAGAAATGACAAGAATACTCCTTGACCAACCAATAAGAAATTCTAAAAGTCTCAATCTGCAAAACTATCTAGTTCTCAAGAAATGAGGATTCACATTCCAAAAATAAAATATTTCTACGGATTTTAAGAATTTTCTTTGACTTTTACGTTAGATGTCGTTAAGTATGTGTAACTCATTGAATAAAAAGAGATCGCGTGGAAGATTAGACCCAGAAAATAGTATAAAAGGGGTCTGATTCTTCAGAATGTTAAGCAACGACTCGACACACTCCCTCCGACCTCGCGTTCTCCGACGAGACGTCATCCTACCGACGTCGTTCCCCGACGACTGATCCGCTCCTCTCATCCTGATCGCCACTTTTCGTGTTCGTGCATACGGTAACGGTTCTAGAACTAAGAGTTCTTCATTGGATCAGTCGTCGAGGTAGGACGTCGGACGTCGGTGGGATGGCCTCCCGTCGCGGAGGCGAGGTCGGAGTGTGTCGATTCGTTGCTTGAAACTGGTCAGACCTTTTTGCCTCTTCTTTTAATCAGACTTCTTCATAGTATTTCCTTGGTCTAACCTTCCGCGCGATCTCTTATTTGAGTTACACATACTCAACGGTGTCCTTTCTCAAAAACTGCCTGATTCGTTCTCGAGGGCCCGGATCTCGTCGAAATTTTCATTGAAGTTCCAGCAATGACCCTATATGGGATCAACAATTTCTTGTTGCCCTGGTCCAGGTAGTGACTGTGATGGTCAGTGGGACACTGGATCTTGGTTCTTTCATGGATCCACTTTCGCTTAATTTACGGATTTCTTTCTCCGGTGGGTTAAGCGCGGTTCCTGTGGGTTGTGTAGCACAGGGCCTCAGACCTCAGACCTCATGTTGGATCCGATTTCTGGTTCGAAATTTCTGTCTAACTCCGACAAGACCCCGACCGATCTGATGATCAGTAGCGTCGACCGAAGAGCTTCGAACAGCTGGAAATGAGTCTCACTACGCAGAGCTCGTGAGATCGGCTCACGCGATCTGATAGATCACGTACACGCCGAATTTCAAGTTCAGACCAAAAGGGCAAACAGCCATAAGCTATGTGATCGTTTCGTAGTATTGGAATATAATGAGTTACAAATACTTAGCATTGTAGTTTCTCAAAAACTAGGAGCGTGTGTAGGTTGAGACTTTGTGGTATATAAATTACTTTTCTGGCCAATTTTTTTAAGAAAATCCCAACCGCAAACAGAAATAAACATCCTTTTCAGGGCAACTTTTTCGAACAAAATTTCAGGTATTTTTCTTTTAGGTTCTCGCTGATAATATTTTTTTGCGGCTTCTCTGCGCCCTCCATATCCCTCGACGTCTATCTCATGTTTGCGTGCTATTTCCATATTTCTCTGAACTCGTCGGTGAGGGAACATAGAGACGCAGACACGCGAAAACTGTCTAGTCGCGGCCGACGGACTATGTTTCAAATCGATTTACATCTATAGCCTGTTCAGATTTTGAATGTCAAGCAGCAACTCTGCTCCCCCTCAACGATGCACTGTGGAGGGCTCGCTCTCTGATTGGTTTGATCTACGCATTAGGGGCGGAGTTTGAGCGTTGAGTTGACATTCAAAATCTGACCAGACTATCATAATAAAAAAGAAAGCCACCTTTCGAGCCAGTGACCAGATATTTTCCAGCCGACGCGACGGATAAAACTCCCTTGGAATGTCCTTCCAAAGTGTGCGTCCGACTGATAATTCGTCCACTCATTCCGTTCTTGACAGCGACTATTCGACTTTGCTTCCTGAAAAGAAAAAAAGGCAATAGACGGTAAAGAAAAATAAATGAAAATCACAGCAACTCCCTCAAAGATCCCTTGAAGAGACGCCAAAAATTGTCAAATCATCGAAAACAACCTCGAAAAAGTCAATAATAAAATTTCAATCATACAACCTTACAAAAATGGTAAAAGGTACCAGACGTCATGAAACTTCTTGAGGAAGGACTAACTGTTGTAATTTCCCTTTCAAAAATATACTCAGCTATTAAATTGTATGAAAACCACCATTTCAAGGAAAACAAAATTTTTTTGATTTTTTTTTAAATTTTTTCCCCGCATGATCGGCATGGCGGTGATAGAAATTCAGCCAAAATAGACCTTTTTTTTTCAAAATCCACAACTCAAAGATAGTTAAAAGAAGCACACACCAAGCAATAAAAGGCCACACCATCCAAGCCAACTAGAAAAAATTAATCTTCTCACAGCACGTTAGTGAAAGCTTTTCACAAAATCAAACCAAGGATAGGAGAAAAAACACACGAAATAATAAAATTGACAAGATTCAAAAACGTTTTCGAACCGATTCATAATCAAAGCGGCGCTAGTGTCGCTGTCCCAAGACGGCGAAATACGCGCGAATACCGACTTGGCCGGGTTTCCGTTGGCGTCGCGCGACTGGGACGACGAGGGCGACGAGGACGGCGTCGCGGTTGACGTCGACGACGACGACAAGGCCAGCGAGGTCGGTCGCGACGACCACGACGCAGACAAAAGCTGCGAATTTGTCGCGTCTTCGCTGACCGCCGGGAGTCGCGACGTGGAGAGAAGTCGCGACAGGCCTCTGAATCACGATTTACCATCACCACTACGACGACAGCGTTAAAAAAATTCAGAAGGCAGTGAAAAAAGCTTAAAAAGATTTGACACAAGACGCGGTTCATAGATCAAACTTTAAAAAAAGGTTCCGAAACTTTGATTTTTGTCATTTAATCTGTGGCTATCATTCATTGATGGTTCAAGATTTTTTGTTGTTTTGAAATTTCCAGATTGAGGACTTAATTTTGCGCTCTGCGGTACTTTGAGACATTCTGATTCCGAATCGGTCTACCAAATCAGAAAAGAAAATTGCAAGGGTGCCGTAAAGAGCCTCCCAGTCAAGTATTATCAAATGCTGTTATCCGAAGATCTTGGAGTTCGCAAAAAATCATTCTCGAAGTCATCCACCCGAAAAGCTCAATTTGAGACACTTTTCTTTATTTCAAGCAATCAGAAAATATCGAAAAATCATGAAAAGCCTCTATCTAACTTTTATTGACATTTTCTTGAAGTTTCAAGTTTTAACGTCACAAAAGTTTTTTTTTTGAACCGGAAACATCTGATCCATTCTCAGTGCGACCAAAAGCATCCAATCAATTTTTTCACCGCCTTCCAACTTCACTTTGGTCTCACCCTCTCCTCGCCGGCGTCACTACATTCGGAGTCGGTCTTTTCGGCGGCAGACCGGCGACCGTACTGCGTAGCTTCGTATTTCTCACAAAAGCTTGCGTTGGTTGTGTAGGAGGAGGAGGAGCTTGGCAGAACTCCAGCGTTTTGGAGGTGGAAGCTGAGGTCGACGGCTTCGACGTGAGCAGACTGAAAAAGGGGCCGAGAGGCCGGAGCTTCACTACTACGACAAGTTAACCATGAAGACGAGCGTGCTTGTGACTTTTTTTTTGAAAGTGTTTTGTGACAAGGGCAACTACCACATGTGACGATTGGACATGCAAACAAAAAACAACAGAAAAATACAGGAAAAATATATCATTTATATTGGTTATTCTGTAAGGTAGTGAACAGGAAGATATTCTTTTTTTGGTCGAAAATTTAACCTATGCTTTTTGAAACCTAAAATTGAAATTAATCTTTCTCATTGATTCTTGGACTTTCGTATCCATATAGTAGAAGATTTTTTTGACAAAAAATCTGCGTCAAAAGTCGAATTTTCGATAACTTTTTCTGATCATTGAGCTATAAGCAGCGTATTTCAAAAAACTTTTGACAGAGTAGAATTTTTTTCTGGTTCTTCAAAGTTAAGCCGCGTTTTGCGCCTTTAAAAAAGTTCTGAAACGATTGATAACTCAATATTTTTTATTTATTGAGAAACAAAGGAAAAAAACAAAACGTGTCCAATTTGAGCCAGGTTTCAAAAAATTCCGCTTTTGAGATTAAAAAAAAATTTTTTTTCCCCAGCCTGCAAGTGCGCTCCAACGGACAAAGCTCCTGATTGGAGGGCCACGCCTCCTTATTTTGAAGCAACAAAAAAATACATCCCCTTGTTCACTACCAGCTGTGTGAGCGGAACATAAAAGGAAACATGAAAATCATGACTTTCAGGTTTGAAAAATTGCCCTTTTCAAAGCATTGTATCTGTAAAAATCAGAAAAAATCCTTACAATTTCCGTTTCTTCTTCTCCTCGGCGCTAAGTGTCGAATCAGCGACGTCATCAGTTGATTGTGGCGTTTCGACGATTTCTTGCGGGTAAAGAAGTTCATCTGCAGTGGCCGTGTGCCGCCGCACTTTGTAGGTGTGCAGTTGTTGAGCTTCTTCTGAATAATTTTCTTTTTTTCTGAATACAAATTCAAAAAAACAAAAAAACATTTTGAAGTCGATTTTTTTGAAGAACCCGGTTTTTCGGGTTGAAAACTAGTTTTAAAAAAATTTTTTTAAAGTTGCTTTTTTTCTCGTATAAATTCCTGAAGCTTGTTCACTTTTTCTGAGATATTTGAAGGCGCAGGAATCTGAATTTCATATCAAAAGAAGTTATAAATCCTGATAATGCTTCAAAAAAAGTTGTAGTTGATCAAGTACATTGAAAAAAATAAACCTTATTCTAACAGTATATTTTTTTATTTCACTACTTTTTCAGAAATTCTTGCGAAAAATAGGTAGATTATCAATTTTACAAGACGCGTGCTTCTTTTTTTAAGTTTGTATTCAGGAAGAACTGTCAGAGGTTCTTCTCTTCCAAAATGGAAAAATCTCGAATTTTTCAATTTATTTTTTTGGGAACTGTTCAATTGAATATCTAAATTATTTTTTTCTCCCGAGTAAATATTTATTCTCCCGGCCATAATTTATTAATCCTTATCTTACATGTTCTGGTGTTAAAAAAACGGCTGTGAATAACTATCATTATTATTCAAATATATTCCTTTTTCTATCAAATAAATCCGTTTTCAAAAAAAGTTTTTTTCCTTATTTTTTTATAATTAAATATACCAATAAGACTGGGAGAGACGCTTCCACCACGAGCCGACGACTGTGACGGGGATCTACTCTTTCTACGGAGGGAATCCGACGAAAGGATCAGTCCTTCGATGTCTTGGGCTGAAAATTCCGACAATTATCACTAGTCTGGAGGTCCTTTTTTTTTCTCGAAAATCGTCAATAAGAGGCAGTTCTCAACGCCCATAACAAAAAAAAATCAAATTATGTCCTAAAACGGCAAATTTTACAAAACCCTTCATATTCATATCCTTTGTCAAATTCTCATAATGAAAAAGTAAATTTCAAGCAATCCTGAAATTTTTCTTTTTTTCTACTGTGACTTTTGTTCTTATTCCTTTAAAACAGCAAGAATTTCTCGAAAATTATGATGACAAAAATTATCAGCGAGAGAGCAAAGGAGCTGAAGAGACGTAGAGTCCTTGTTCTCTGAGATCTCTTGAATTTGAACGCTCTCTCGCTTGTGAAATCAACCAGCCTCGAAAATTTAACCCTTTGGAGGCAAATCTCATTCAACGCGAGAGAGCGTGGAGGCCGAAGAGACGCAGATTTCTTGTTTTCTGGTTTCTCTTGAATTTTAACGCTCTCTCGTTGATAAATTCATATATTTTTTGATCCATTTGAAAAAGGTATTTATCAACAGAGCGAACTTGATCTCTTCCAATACTATTTTTCGAAATTTCTTCAATTTTGATTTGAAGAATAAGTAAGCCTCCAGATGATTTTTTTAAACATTTCTTGATTCAACATGTCATGATTCTCTTTTTAACAATTCTTTTTACAGTTTCGTACGGGTAGATCGGCCTACAAGCTCCTCTCGTTGTGGAGGTGGTGGAATCATCATTTTCTTCAAAAAACACCTGGGAATCGCAGAAGTGGATTTAGCCTTGGATCGTCACTATCCCGAACATTTCTGTGAGGTACTTGCCTTTGATTTTTTTATTCACCGTCCAAATCTAGGTTTTTTTCTTAGCTTACCGTCCTCCTTCCACTTCAAAAAAATAATACTATTAACTTGTTGAAACATTTATCCAAATTTTTTTACTTCCTTTCAATAACCATCTGATTGGCGATTTCAACCTTCCAAAAAAATTGATTGGTCTTCTCTGACTTCGACTTGCCCTCTTTCTTCAGTCTTTCTCGATTTTTACTATCACTTCTAACCTTACTCAATTAGTTCACTCTCCTACTCGTTGCACTTCAAGCACTGCTAACATTTTGGACTTACTTCTAACAACCAACCCTTCTCTTTTTTCGGATTTGTCAGTTTCTGAACCACTCTTAGGGTCCGATCACTTTTTCCATTCTATTTTTCCATTTCTGTCTGTTCTCCGATTAACCACACATCATCCGTTCGAAAGCTCAATTTAAAAAAATGTAATTTTTTTCTAGAGTTAACGACTTAATTTCTTCTTTCAACTGGGATCGGCAGTTCAGCTATTTTTTTCCTCTGTTGAGAGTAAATTTTTCTCATTTTTTTAAAAAAATTTTTTTAATGAAATTGTTCGTGATTCCTGTTCTAGTTTTCTAACTCCCCCTCAGTCGTCGCCCATTCAACCATGACAATCGTATTCGCCGGCTAAATATTAAAAAGAGCCAGTCTCATTCTGTGCTAATCTTTTCAATAATTCTACTCGCCTCCAATTCAATCTACTGTATAAAAAAATCAAAGCTTGTGCCTCCTCCATCTCCCTGGCACAGGAAACTTACATTGCTAACAATTTCAACCATGTTCAACTTTCCAAATATATCTCCAAAAAACTCAAATGTTGTTCTTCCATCCCCAACATTACTTACAACAATTCCCTTTATTTCTGAAAGCTCCTCAAAAGCAGATGTTTTTTTGCTCAAATTTTTTTAGTACAAATTTTTTTCTGATGAAGTTTACGATTTGATGCCCATTTTTCCCTTCCCCGAAAGCCACTAACTGCTCTATTTCGTTCACTCCTGAACTTGTTTTATAAAACTCTGATAGCTTTACCTCCCAAATGCGGTTTTTTTCGCCTGACTTAATCAATCAACTTGTTTTAAAAAGGTGCTCTACATCTATTTCTATTCCTCTGTCCATTCTGTTTAACGAATCATTTTATTCCGGTTTCATTCCACCCTCCTGGAAATCTACCACGGTAATTCCTATTTTTCAAACGTGGAAAAAAACTTCAGATCCGTCAAACTACCGCCCTATATCCTTGACACATCCTTTGTCCCGGGTCTTTGAAAGGATTATTTGTGATATGATTCGCCGGAGATTCTCCTCATTGTTTTCTGAATCTCAGTTTGGTTTTTTAAACAAACGATCTTGCAAGCTTAACCTTCTATCTTGCCTCTCCTCTTGGCAAAAAAATCTATCGCCTCGAAAAAAATTTGTCGATGTTGTTTATTTTTGACTTTTGCCAAGGCTTTTTGATAAGGTTAATCATTCTCTGCTTGTTCATAAGCTCAAGAACTTTGGTCTTGACGAAAAACGTTGTTCGATGGTACAAAAAAACTTCTTATCTGAGTGTGTTTCTAATGTTCTGATCGATGGATCCCTGTTCTTCTCTTACTTATCTCAATACTTCCGGTGTCCTTCAAGGAACTGTATCTGGTCCTTTGCTTTTTTTCTAATTTTTCATCAATGATATTGTTAACTACATTGACCATGAAACCTCAATCTCTCTGTTCGCTGATGATATAAAAAAATTTACAGTTCTAACCCTGAATCTCTCCAACGTAGTATTAATTCCATATTTGAATGGTCTTCCATTTGGGGCTTGCCTCTTGCTGCGCACAAAACTTTTGCTATCAACCTTGGTCCCCTCAATCCCAAAACAACTTATTTAATCAATGGTCTGTCTATTCCCAGAAAAACCATTATCCGCGATCTAGGTGTTCTTATCGATGATAAACTAACTCTCGCTCCTCACATTAACAATATCGTTTCTTTAGCAACTCTTCGTTCCAATCAGATACTCAACTGTTTTCGTTCCAAATCACCTGATCTATTGTTCAAAATTTTTAACACCTATGTAAGGCCTATTCTAGAATACTGCTCCGAAGTTTTTAACCCTCCCCTTAATTCTGATCTCTGCTACAAACTGGAATCTCCTCTCAGAATTTTTTCTCGTAAAATTTTTATTAGGTCCAACTTATCCTTTGAATCTTACTCTGATCGCCTTGAACAATTTGATATCTCTCCACTTTTACCTCAGACGAGCTATATCTGACATTCTGACCCTTCATAAAAATTGTCTTCGGTATCGATCATTTTTCCCCAGTTCGAACTTTTTTTGCCCTCAGGTCCAATTTAAGGCGAAATCCACTTCGACTGCGTTCTCAAGGTCAGTTTTCTAATGATTTTTTTCTTTTAAAACAATTCCTACTTGGAACAAACTCACTTCCAAATTTCAATTCAGCCACCACCCCAAGTCTTTAAAAAAATTTACTGGTCAATCTACCATTGCACGAGATCTTCTTGTCTATTCCTCCACGACTCAAATGATGTTTAACTGTATAATGTATTCTCTCAAATTCTAGATCCAAGTGAACTCGTTAGGGTTCACGCTGATCTGTCAATAAATTATTATTATTAACCGCCCAAGCAATATCGGTTTTTTTTTCCAAAACCAGTTGAAAAAAATTCTTATCAATGGAGCAAATTTGATCCCTTCCAACCAAAGTTTGACCCAATATTCTTCTCTCTGAAAACCCGAAAAAAAAAATAAAAAGGAGAACGCCTCCAGATGATTGGTCGCCTGCGCCGTTCTTCTTCTCTTTCGTTCAGAAAACAGTCCTTGGGGAATATTTCCCGAGTCAAAATGAACTCCCTCGCCTTTTCCACCAAAACAACCATTACCCCTCGAGTCTTTCCAATTAGATTCTCCAATTGAAAATGGAAAAAAAGAAGAAGAAGAAGAAGCTCGTGTTCATTTTTCCTAATTACTATGCAGAAAAAGCTGGGTTTTTGCAGAGGAAGGAAGTCAAAAGATGAGAAAACCAAAAACCGCCCGAAGGTCACAAATTACAATTGCAGATGAAAATTCCCATAAGGAAGGTTTTTGGAAACCTTGATATATAGCCCAGTCACCGTCACCTTAGGTGAAGACTTTGTATAGACGTCTGAATCTCCTCTTCTGACGAAGTATTTTGTAGTTGCTCAACCATACTACGACTTTGAACCTTCTGAAAGCGTTTGAAATGCTCAGCGAGTTTTGTTTTGGGTTATAACATCGCGTGAGTCGTTTCAGGTCAGGCGCAAGTTTTTGAGCATTCGCACATCGTTTCAAGTTTTTTTTTTGTGTTTTATTCAAGTTTTTAGAAGAAAACTTTGTACAGTCGTCTGGAAATCTGTACAGTGTTTCTCAGTTGTTTAATTACAAATTGAAACCTACAGGTTGCATTTGAAATGGCTCAACACGTTGCGGTTCAAGTTACACCTTCACGAAAACCACTTCTGGTCGGATGCAGCTTCTTTAGAAACCTTTAGACATCATCGTTTCAAGCCGTTTTCTGTGTTTTCTTTCATCGTCTAGAAAAACGTAAGATCTCTATTTCGCGAACCGATTCTAAGTCAGTCAATTACAATACGAAAAATTCTGGACGCATTTGGAATGGCTCAACGCGTTGCGGTCGCACTGCGGTTTAAGTTACATCTAGACCTTTTTTAGTAACCCCAGATTGTAAAGCCATTTCAAACGTATTTCAAAAAACTTTCCAGTGTTTTCTGATTCTTCAGCGAAAAAACAAATGTTTGTCTTTTTGTGACGAGTCCCGGGTCACATATTTCGACATGAAGGCCACCACCCACGCCGAGCTTATGATTGATACGTTTCAATTTTTCGTTCCTCCTGTCTTTCTCACCAAATTTACGAAAAGTGCGGGGCAAAAAAAAAAAAAGAGAAGACGTCCTTTTTTGTTGTTTTCCAGAGCCAAACTTCGTTAAAGCCAAATGAATTGGCTGTTTTTGTTTTGGAGAGCCATTTTCTTGCTCGAATAGGAAAGTTTCGGTTTGAGATAAACTACGGTTTTCATTCATTTTCACTACCAAAAAATCAACTGTTTTTTTTTTCAGTTGTAGATTTTTCGGCTCCTAGATGGAATTTTCGCCAAACCCAAGTTTTTAAGAGTCAGGATATTTACCTCTAAACTCTATTAGGATAGGAGAAATGGTTCAAAACATCTGGTTCGAGATCAAGATTCTCAACTTCCCTCAAAATTGGTATCAATCGATAGAGAAGATCACGGAGGTCAGGAAAAACTAGGTCTCTGAGTTCCTATGTTCCTAGAAATCGAGATATGAATAATAGTAATTTTTTTAAAAAAATTCATATATTTTTTTGTAGAAGGTCAGGGACTTTTCCACCTGAGTTTATGAACATCTGACGTCATTCCCTATCGATTGATATGAAAATCTGGAAGCTGGTTTTGAAATAACAGGAAAAAAAACTAACATTAGCAATAATGAGTTAGCTTGAAATGTCTGTTCAGATTTTGAATCTTAAGTACAATGACGTCCTTCAAAAATGCTCTGTAAATGACTCGCCTTGTGATTGGTTTATCGCGTCATTATGGGCGGAGTTTGAGCGATGGCTTGACATCCAAAATATGAACAGACTATAAGATTTTCATCCTAGCCTATTTTCAAAATCTACATCCAAAAATGGAATAACTTCCTTGTGAGGTCCCTCTTCTTCTCATTTTCTTTCCTTCCAAAAAATGCGAAAAGCACATTTCTCCATGCCCTTTTCGCATAAAGTACACCCTCACATTTTCTTCTCCATTTTTTTGCCAGGAAAAATGGTAAAATAGAGAGCTTCTCACTCCATTTTCCGGGTCCTCCCATCAACCCGATGGATGGCACTCCGACACCACCTTCAATCTTCTCTTTTTTTTCTTTTTTTTCTCTTTTGTTTTTCTCCTAGTTTTCATCCAATTGGTTTGAACTATGTTTTTTTTATTCGAAAAAAAGATTTTTTCACGTTTTGAACGAGAGATCAGAGACTCCGTGAAGAGGAACCAGAGAAGACAATGTACTAATTTTCTCTGACCTCTCTTCAAAACGTGTTGATATTTTATCAACTAATTTTTCTGCACTCTTTGAGCTGTATTGCTAAGTGCTTGATTATCATTCTTATTTCAATCATATATGCGTTTTTTTAAAGTGAAACAATTTAAAAAATCAAAATTTCCTCACAAAAAGTTTTCTTAAAGTTCGTCACGAAAGCTTTCTGTTTTCTCATATCAAAAAACCTCAAACTCTACATAGTATCAAACTTCCGCAAAACATCGCAACTCGATCAATTGCAAGAACAAATACACAAAAAGGATTAGGGCCGAAAATCAAGTTTTTCCTTCGATTTTTTGACGTTTCTGAGGATCAAAACTCGTGGCCGTATATTAAAAAAATTATCCAAATTGTTTCAAGACAATTCTGAAAACCGTAAAAAAACTTTAAGATCATAAGAAAGCTAAAAAAATTCATTAACAATTTTTTTCCGAGTAAAAAAAGAAATCGAAGAGTTTCAATTTTTTTAAAATTTTTTTATGTACTTTTTTTCCCACCAATATGAAACGTTCTCGTTCTCCTTTATAGCACGGAAAACATTTCTTCTGTGAGGTCATAACTTAAAAAGCTACTTGAGTTTTTGTAAGCGGGAGATAAGACCGAAAATCGCAAATTTTCATTTTTCATTTTACCTTCAAATATAGTATACATCATGCAGGAAAACAATGGAGCTTCAAGAGAAAATCTTTAGAAAACGTTTCATTTTTATCCGTCAAAAAGAGCTAGCCTCAAAGTTATAAGCTCCCTCTCACAAATTCTCACAAAGTTCAGGGAAAATTCTCCATGGAGCGCAAGTTCTTGAGTACCTTCTGTGGCTATATTTTCAGCCATTTTTTTCCATTTATTTCAATTTCATCGTCCTTTTCTTCATTTAAACCGGCCTCATTTTTTTTGTCCCAGTCCCCCTCAGATCCCCAGAATCCCATCTTGCTTGGACAAGTATCAAGATTGGTCAATAAAACCGAGTCGAGGGTGTGCAGCTGTTCGACTCCCTCACAAAACGTCGTCCAAGGTTCGCCAATCAGGCGATGAATAGAAAGATGGCCGGAGAATAAAGCGGGTGCTTGGGGGAAAAGAAAAAACGAAGACTCGCCCAAATTCTTATCCTCGATAACGGTGGTCAACAGCTGCTCGTTGATGAACGACTGCTGCTCGAGCTGCTGAATTCGAGCCGCCGACTCCTGCAAAATATATAACTTTTTACAAGTTGCTCAAGCTTTCACTGGTCAGTAGTCACCATTTTTTAAACTGAAATTTTAGCCATAGAAAAATTATTGAAGTTGAAAAATAGCGCGAAGTTCGCTAGGTTAGAGCTTTTTCAAAACAGCCTCATTTATTATTGACAGTATTATTTGAAAAATGTATGCCATTTAGAACAATAACAGGATTTAAAAGCACATTTCCTAAAAAACTGTTTTTTTCTATGCCTGTTAAGTTCTTACTACTTCTTTGAACTCTCCCCGCCCCCTTCCGAAATTTTGAAAAATTTTACATTTCAAACTTTTTCACATTAAACAGGACTCCACAAAAATTCTCCTCCTCACTTGGAAAAGATCCAAAAAAAATTCTGTCAAAAACACTTGGATAGCCTCCTAGACCTGGAAATTTTTCTGACAGCTCTCCTACATCATCTCTTGCTTCATATAAAAAGCTTAAAAGAAAAAAAAATCCAGTTTCAATTTCAATGATCATACTGTAGTTGAAAAGTAGAAAAAATTTAAAAAAAATTCTAAGTTCTAATGAGAAATAGTTTTGAAAAACTTTCTCGATTCTTTTAAAATTCAGCTGTCTAAAACACATCAACAGTGTTTCTTTGATTATTTTTTCGCACGTGATCTCAAAAAGATTTTTTTTTTCAATTCTTAAGTATATCATGAAGTTTTGGCTTAAAAAACGCGGCTTCTGCGCTCCAATGACAATTTCGCAAACTTCTTTGTATTCGCTGAGAAATAAGCTAATAAAGACGGATCTTCTGCGCTCCATTGATAATTTTGTCTTTCTCAAATAGATTCTTGAGTTTTTTTCTTTTTTTTCTCTTAATTTTTCACGACTCTTAAACTTAGGCTGAATAAAGCGCAACTTCTGTGCTCCAATGACAAATTTTTCCAGTTCTGGAGTTTCTATTTTTTTGTTCCTTGTCAACCTGAAAAGTTAGTAGGCAATCGGTCAAAAACCAGAAAACTCCTCCCAAAAAAAAAAATGCAACACGAAGGCGGTTGATTTAATCCTCGAAGAACCTTCTTTTTTCAGCTTCTCGAGACTTGTTTTGCTCTTTCTTTGAAAGGGCGTTTTCTATTTTCAATTTCAAACCGAACCCGTCGCGTGAGAAGCGGCGGCGGAAAAAGAGCAAAAGGAGGATTTTGGAAAATATATTGCACGTAGTTCCAGTTGGATTGGCGTGGCCTTTTCGCGAGGAAATTGAGGAAATATTTGAAAATTCGTCATGGGATCCGGAAATCACAAATATGCTGTCTTGAATATTGGTCTCGAGAAGATCAACTTTTTTTTTCCTTTTTTTGAGCTCATGTTCTATTTTTTTTTTAGTAGTCTTCACATAGCTCTTAACAGTCAACTTCTGAAAAATCAATAGAATATTTCAAAATTACCCTTGAAGCTTGAAAATTCAAATTTTAACAGCTAAATCTCTGAAAAACCATCAAATTGCAATCAGAGTGAAAAAAGGCCTTTTCTGACCTTTTTCCCTCCAAACTAGCTCAAAACACCCAAAATTATCATTGGAGCGCACAAGTTGAATTTTAACAGCCGAATCTAGACGAACCCCTAGAACTCCACATAATTATCATTGGAGCGCAAATGCCGCATCAAATAGCACCTAATTTTGACTGTAAATTTTAGAACGTCCCAAAATTATCATTATAGAGCATGAGTTCCGTTTTTTCACAAATTATTTTTCCAAACCCCACAAATCCTCTTGAAAATAGTCAAATCACGCGACTCCCCTTACAACTTACACTAATCCGGAATAACAGCTCCAAAAAAAATAAAATTCCGTTCATTTCCTAATCCATCTCTTTCCAATCCAATCCAATCCATTAGGCTTCTACACCCACCCAAATATAATTCAGTAATCTTGGGAAAAAAACGATCTCAATAAAATCCGAAAAAAAAAAATCTCATCAACCAAATGCAGTTCCACTAATCTATTTCAGCTGTACCACTCGAAAGATTAATTTGAAAAAAAAAATGAAGCAAGGAAAAAATAGCCGCAATGCGCTCTAAGGATAATATAAGGCATTTTTCTTATTTTCAGCGGAGCTATATAGTTCGCTTTTTTTGGATAAAAAAGTGAATGAAAATTTAAAAAGCCCTCCATATCGCTCAAAATCACTGATAACAGTTTTTTAGAGCTGGCTTTTTCGAAATTGCCTTCAAAAAAAAGGTTTCTTTCACTTAAATATATGAAAATTTTTCTTTTTTTTTATGAATTTCGTTTCGATGAACTATGCAGTTGCTCCGTCGTAAATTCCAGTAACTGCTACCGATTTTCTGATTTTTTAAAAAGTCCGACTTTTCCGCCTCATTTTTTAGAATCTTCAGCAATTTGCAATGAAAATAAGCTGTAAACTGCGAGCTTATGCGCTCCAATGGCAATTTTTTAAAAGCTTTTTTGTAACGCTAACCAAACACGCTTCTGAGCCTTTCTAGTAACCAATTTAGCGGCTTTGCTTAAGTGGTCACTATAACTGCTCAGAAATGCCCCCAGCGCGTCCGGTTTGCGTTACTGAAGTTCAGCTTTCACGTCTGACTGTTGACTTTTTCAAAAATTCAGGCGAATTTCAACTGCTTTTTCTCAAGACTTCTCCCAAATACAAAAATCGGTGACGCCACGGAAAACTGGCAAGATCAACCCGGAGCACTCCGAGAAAAGCTTTCATTTCCCAAATGAGGAAACGCGAGAAGCCCCTCTTTTCCTTCTTCTTCTTCTTCTTCCAATGGCCTTCCGACGTCTCAAAACAACGCCGGGGAAATCTGTTTACAAAGGCCAAAAGCACATTTCGAAAAGGCCGCTTTTCCTTCATTTGGCGCTGTTGGCTTCCATTTCGCTTCGAATTTTATTACAATAGTTCGCTTTTTCGAGATCTTTTCCGTTAAATAAGTTATTAATTTTTTTTATTGTTGTTTCACATTGCATTCCAGAAGTTTCAGGTCGAAAGCAGTAAAAAATCTATCAATGAAGATTTTTTTGAATATTTATCAAAGTGAAGCTCTAAAAAGAATCATACTATGCGCTCCAATGATAAATTCCAATTTTTTTCGGTACGCCTTGTTAGAAATTTGCTCCAAATCCTTCAAAGACAACTTTTTCTGAAGAATAGTGTATTTTTTTAAAAAAACTGAAATTCTGTGCTCGCAATTTTTACAATTATTATCAAGATTCAGGCTGAAAAAGGCTCAACTTTTTGCGACACAAGGAAATTTTTTTAAAAATTTTTTTGGCCTTCTTTCGATTTTTCGGTTCTGCAGATGTTTCTCTAAAAAAGCTAAGATCAAAAGAATATAAATTGTGTATTACTTTACCTATTCATAGAAAATCGTCATTATTCCACTAATCCGTACCCAATTCATCCCATTTTTTTTTCCTTTTTCGATTTCTAAGGAGTTCTATAGAAGCCATACACATCATCGAAAGTCTAAGAAAATCATGATTTCATAGAGAATCCGAATAAAAAATGTCTCACATGTAAAGCTTCTTGTGGGGAGTCCAAGTGTCTGATTGTAAATCTGAAGGAATTTGTGAATGAAGTCTTAATTTAAGACACACTAAACTGAAATCGGCTTATTTGGAGCACGGTGATCCCAAAAATACCGTTTATGAGTCAGACTATCCATGGAGCGCATTAGTTTAAAGCATAACGGCTATTTTCTCTCAAAAATTTCGATATTATATTTTGCTCTAGTTTTTTATTCCTACAGATCTTTTTTCGAATTTGAACTTTCTTTTTGTTGTCCTAGATCTTGGACATAAATGGATGTATGTTTACGGCTCAACGGCTGCTTACTGAACGCTTATGAAGGAAGGAAAAGGGGAAAAAAAAATCGTTGTCTGAGATTGAGGAAGTCGCCAAAGTTGGGTGTGTAGTTTGAGGTAAATGGGGCAGCCTCGGGCTATTTGTGTGATCCATATTCTAAAATTTGTGAAAATCAAAAACTTTCCAGATCTGTGGCCACAGAGTGACTTAAGCTGAGCTTAATAATAGAGAAAAATTTCGTTTTCTGCTTTTTCTCGATTCTCTTTTTAAGAGGGCTTAAAAATCAAAGATGTTCTTTAAAAGAAAAAAAATCAAATTCATACGGTCAAATACAAAAGTCCTGCTCCCCTGACCTTCAAATCCGCTTTTTCTAAGAAGCCTGACGATATATCTCAAGGAAAATCATCGAAAAAAATTTGTCATTTATGAAAAAATCGAATAGAGAACATTTCACAGAGCTTCTTGAAGTGATTCTCAGATTTTGCTCAAAATTTTCAGATGAACTTTTCAAAATCCCATTCACAGAACTCAGTTGAAGATTTTTTTGGGCTTTTTTTTTTGTTTAGTCAATTATTTTTGCAAACCAATTTTTGATCAGATTGATTAGCTTCTTCCAAATCTCACTGAACTGTTCTTGGCAAGTTATCAAAACTTAATTTTTGATTCTCCATAGAGCACTGTTGCTGTTCTACCCTTCCCATCAGCTTTCAAGTCAAAAAAAAAGTCTTTGCTAGAAAAAAATAGAAAATCTACCAGAAATTCCCACTTCTCAATCAACCATAATTTTTTATTAAAAATTCGATTTCCCTTATTGATCCGTTTCCCACTTGAAAAGCCAACAAAACAGTCCAAAATTGCTATGGAACCCTATGGATTATCCTTGGAGCGAGACTTATCAAAGTTGGGCGGCTATTTTCTCGTTCACCCCACTTTCATCCATCTTCAATGACCTGCGGCCATCCAAAATATTGTTATTCACCCAATGGAAAAACGTCACTTTCCACCATTCATAAGGGCTTTCGACGGCAATAAACAGGCGCCGAGTAACACAATTCGCCATGGCGCATCTTCGTCTTCTTGAAAATGGCCTTCGAAACGATATAAATGTGCCCAAAAAAGGAGCACATAAATATATGGCTCTCCGGTTGTTGTTATTCGAAGGACCGCCCAGCAACGAGAAAGAGAGGAGGAGAAAAAAGAATGATTCTCTTCAGTTTTCCAGCTTTTGCCCCTCTCTCGTCAAGTCGGGTTGAGTTCACTTTTCTGCCCGCCCATCGTTCATCAAAGTCAAAGTCAGGAGCCTCTTTTCCGCTTTTTTTTTCATTTTGTGGTTTTTTGAACTTGGAGAAAAGCCAAAAAAAAAACTACCAGAACTAAGAAATTTTAATTATCGAGCTCCGTTTGGTAATATGTACTTGTGATACTGAAAACGCTTCATGGGCTTTTTTTTCTCGATAACCTTGCTGATAAGTGATTTTCTCTTTGAACTTATTGAGTAAAAAAAACACTAGCTTCAAAAATTGATCTTTTTACTCCTTGAAGGCCTAAATAAAAACCTTCTCATTTTCCAAAGTCCATTATTTCTAGGAAAAATTATCAATAGAGCGCCCAATCTCAAAGTCACGGCGGCTATTTTTTCTCATCTCCACTTCTTCAGCAAAAAAAGCCAAAAAGGCTGAGAAAAACTTCATTTTCAGAAATCTTCGGTCTCCATTCATTTCTTTTTTTTGTTCAAGGGACACAAAATAAGGTTGCAACTTTTTTTAGTCAAAAATCCAATTTCAGATTCGAAAATCTCGTTCACAGTGCACTTGACACGTTCGGAAAGCTGTTGATGACATTTTTCGACATGTCAAAAAAGGATATCTTTTTTCAAGGGAATGGCGTCATTTTTTGAAGCTAATTAATTGAAAAAATTTTTCATTGAGCGCAGAAATAGATGGCTTAAATTGGCCATTCTCTCTGGCTTCTGATGGTTATTAAAGAAAAATGGAAGAAATTAGCCTTGGAGCGCAGATATTTTCTCTCGAGGCTATTTCTTCCAAACTCCTCTGCGCAGCTATTCTCAAGGCTCCAGAGAACCGAAATTTTATCAACGGAGCGGAGAATCTTCGATCTATCGAGGCTATTCTGTCCGAGCTCACGTAATCTCTATTTCCCTCAGTTTCACGGACCAAAAACCTCTTCCCAAAAAACATTTCACACGCTTCAAACTCTTCGAACCCCATCTCAAGAACTCTTTTTCCCCCTTTTAAACGGCCAACCTCACAACCAAACTCTCTTTCAAAAATAAATAGGAGAAGGCTTGTTTTTCTTGAACCAGAGTGCTTCTTTGCCCTTCGCCAAAGGTCAAACAAGCAAATAACTCGGTACGCGTCGTCGAAACTCATGAATTATGAGCAGCAGTTTTCGAAAAACAGAAAATCAACGTCTGGGAATGACTTTGACTTCGGGAGGAGCTCTACTTGAATTCTTAAGAGATCACTTGAGATTTAAATTCTTCGTTAGACTCTTACGATAATTACTAACTTCACTAGGAGTTAAAACTCAACATTTAGACCCCTAAAGTGACCACTTAGACATGAAAACTAACTGGTTCTTCCTGATGGTAAGTTGATGGTAACTGATGGTAAGTTTTTTCATCAAGAAAAGTAGAAAATTCTCTCACTCAAGTTTCAAGTTTTCGCCTCCAAAATTTGAAAATACATTAAAAAGATGATTTTTCAACAAAAATTGACCTGGATGAGCTCGAATCGATACATGATCCGCATGATCTGATCCATGAGATTTTCGAAACAAAACAACTTTCAACACATGACTTTCCTGCATCAGTCTTTGGTTTTTCAAAGCACTTTTGGAATATCAAGTGATCCCTTGAGTTTTTCACTTTCGAAAGTCAAAAATAAAAGAATAGGTCTGCAGAAATAAAAAAAAACTGGCAATAACAATATCAAGAAACTACAAATCTTCCGGAATTTCTACGAAAATTGTACTCAAGAAATTTCTCTCGGGCGGATTCAAAATTAAGAAAAAAGATTTTTTCATTAGATTCACAGTACTGGCCATGAGAATTTCTTCAAAATTCGGAATTCAAAAAGTCTAAATGTCATCCAAAAATTCTCATCATCATTGGGACTCGCTTTGACTTGACCAATATTCTTCTCTTATAGTTATTAAAATTATTCAGCCACCTTTTTGGATTTTGAGTTCGTTCATCTGAAAACGTAGACTCTTGGGAGCACCGTTAGAAGCTTTTTCCAATTTTGACGACACCTTTCATAATTTAAATTTCCAGCCAAATCCGTCCGCGGTATCTTACGTCGGTCCAAATCAAGTATTCCCCCCAAAGTTTGAAAATTTCAAATAGACACTCAAAATCACCGCTAAAAGCTCAGAAAATTTTTCCCTTTCCTCATTTTTCGAATTTTCCGGTGAAACCGTCTACCGTGTTTTAAGTTGGTCCAAATCGACTAATTTCCTCAAAATCGACCAAAATGGCATCCAAAATGTCTCATTATGGCTCACGCGGAACTTGACCAACCTTCCCCTCTTCTCGCAATCAAAAGCCAAAAACCGCTTCCTGTCGGAACTCGAGACACACACTTTTTTCTATTTTCGACCCTTTCCGGACGGCTTCCAAATAAAGCGACTGAGGAGAGGTTCTCGTCAAAAAGGCTGGAAAAGCCGTTGCAAATTGCTCCCATTAAGGGTTTTTCGATGGGCGGGACACGTGTGTATTTTTATATCCATCCTCGAGGTGTTGTTTACGTCTAGAAAAGGAACTGAAATAGCCGAGTACAAAAATAGGTTTTCAGTGGTCTATTGAGAAAAGTGTGATTTTTGAGCAAAGCAGAGCTTTTTCTTTGAGCTCATTTTGTCTAGCTCTTTCTTCCGACTTTCAGCCTGAGAGCTCGAACTTGCCTATCACGGCTCATTCTCTTTTTTTTTTAAATTCTCATTGGAGCGCAAATTATTCAATTATTTTGGTTAGCCGTAATGTTCTGTTATTGAGCCTTTCGTCCAGATATTCCTCTGCCCTTTCTTTTTTCAAAAATCAGCCTTGGAGCGTTTTTCGGCTATTTTTCCTTGGCTAAATTCACTGTATAGGTAAACTAGCCATAGAGCACTAATGTTCTGTTACGAATCTTTTCGCCAGTTTAATATTTCTGTCTTTTGATTCTTCTCGAGAGTTAGCTTTGGAGCGCAAATGATACCGTCAAGGGCTCTTTTGCGCAGCTATTTCTTCTTGAATCATTGGTAAATTCTTCTTCCAGAACTGATAGCCTTGGAACTTGAATTTTCCTTTGCCCTGCTCTTTTCCTAGCTGCTTTCTCCTCCGAAAGTTAGCCATAGAGCGTAGATGTTCTAATCTCGGTGCCATTTCGTGCAGCTATTTCTACGAAATTTTCTCCACTTCTTCTGCAAATTTGTTCGTTCCGTCTTCGTCGATAAATCTTCGGCTCAAACGTCCGTTCGTTTTGCAGAGACGAAAGGAAGACGCGACCTGCCCATCTCGACGTCAAATCTTTCCGTTTTGGCCCCCGTGTATGTCTGTTTGCTTCACTTTGTGTTGCTCCCTGGAGCTTTTGGCACCACCGAGGCCAAGTTAGAAGCTCCCACTTTTTTCCTTTCCTTTCTCTCGCCTTGCTTCCAAGGCTATTATTCCGATTCCAAACTCCCTCGCGTGACACTTCTCAATTCTCAAAAGCTTCTCGCAAATTAAATTAATTGGCGTGTTTCTACGAGGAAGATGATGTGATCCGACATTTATTCTTTGGTCGGGCTGATAAATTCGAAAAAAAGAATCTTTAGCTTGGGACTTGGAAAGTTCGACACTCATGTTCTCCAGGAATAAAGCAAATTTTTAGTCTCTGAAGAGTGTATTTTCGCTCAGAATGGCTCAGGGCTCTATCTCAAGAAAAATAGTTGAAAATGGTCTTGATAAGTCGCAGAAAGTGTGCTTTATGGATAATTTTCCCTTTTTCATATTCCAACATCACATCTCATATGTTTCAGTTATCTAATAAACAAAAAAAAAATTTAAACTGCCACCGACCAGCCAAGACTCACGCTCCATTCTATCCTCACCTCGAAGCGAAAGTTAGCATCAAAAACCGACCAAAAAGCCATTCTTTCGAAACATTTTTTCTCGAATTCGCCTACGCCATTCTTCCTTTCAAATTGCTTCAAATCTTGCCAAAGGTCGTATCAACATGGAAAAAAAGAACGTAGGCGTCGTATTCTCTAATTACATTCGCGGAGAATGATCCAATTGATTGGGATTTTTCGACTAAAATTTGAAACCGATCATTTCTATGGACCTTTTCTTGAACTTTGAAAAAAATTTTATATTGGGTGGATTCTCCGTAGAGCACAAATGTCGACGAAATTTCTGCCAATATGTTTTGAAAAAGGTCCAACTCGCAACCGACCGTGAAACGACTTTCGCGGCCTTCAAAAAACTTTATTTTGAACCGCACCACGACCGCAACGCGTCTAGTCATTCTACAGCGGGAATTCAAAATAAAAATGAACAAGAAATTTTTTGGGACTTTCCGGATCCAAAAAAAGTCTGATTTGGTGTATGTAACGCCCACATAGTCTACAACCAATTTTTTGCCCAACTTTTTATATTCCTATTTCTGAAACTACAACCGAAATCAAAATTTTGTAGTCGCCCGAGTTGTTCTAGGAAGAAATCGGGATACTTTTTCCATTCCAATTCCACAACTCATTCCCCTTCAACACGCACACTCTCACAAACAACAATTGATGTTTTTGGCTAGACGATTGTTGACAATTCTTCTTTGGTTCTATGGAAATGGGAAAAAAAAAGAAGAGCCTAGGCAACGTTTGTGAATTGCGTTTAATGAAGCTTACATCATTCAGGAAAACGGGATTTTTTTTTCAATATTAAAAAAATAGGTGTAATCGAGAGATGACGTTCAAAAAAGGCTCAAAAATCGGCGACGAGTGTGCTCCACGGGCAATTAAAACCAAAAAAGGTCTATTTTTGAAACATTTTAGTTTATTTTTAGAATCCAGCTGTCTAAAAGTGATTCATCTACACTTATTTCCGGGTCTGGCGTTCTTTAGTTCAAATAAAGGCTCAAATTTCATTAACACATATGCTCCATTTATAAAACTCCTGAATTTTACGCGACAGGCTTGAAAAAATATTCAAAAATCTGTAAAATCAAAAACTTTAAAACTTTAAACCAAGAAAAAAAAAATAGTTTTCTTCAAAATTTGCGTGTTTTTTCTGAACCTAATCATCATCCAGTATGATAAAATATCACGTCTGAATGTCTTGAAAAAAGAAAAAGCCTAAGATTTGATGTTAAAGCGCTCTATGGACAGAAAAAATTCATTTTTTGAACCAGTTATACCGATTTTTTTTTCAAAATAAGAAAAGGCTCAAAAATATTGAAAAGTACGCTCCACTGATAAAAACAGCAAATTATACTTCTGAGTTTCATTTCCTGCATTTTCTTGTCGAAAAAGCTCAAAATACAGCAACAAATGCGCTCTATGGACAAAAAACCATTTTTGAATCAGTTAGGATGATTTTTTTTCTTCAAATTGAAAAAGGCTCAAAGTACATGAAAAATACGCTCTGATGAAACTGGCAAAGCTTATTTCTAAGCCTCATTTTTCGCATCTTCTCGGCTTTTTTCCTTTCTCAAAAAGGCTCAAAATATACACCAAATGTGCTCCATGGCCAAAAAAAAGTTGTTTCTCTTTTCCAAAGATCTCCCTCCTCTATTTTAAGCCATCAAAAGTTCGTAGTTCCTAGAACCAACTAGCAGTTACTACACATCCTAAAAAAAAAACTACAAAAACTTTCTTAGCGATCTTTGTCAAACACTAAGAGAACGCATTAATGAACCATTTTCTCGCCGTTTTCTTCTTCCAAATCAGAAGAGGAAAAAAGGAGAACTCTATCCATATATGCCCTGAAATTGCTCTCGAAAAGAGGATTAATGCGCGAAGAGACATCGAAGCTCTTCCCCTTTGGAAAGAAAGAAGCCACGCCCATTCCCACGGCTCCGCCGTCGCCGCGTGATTTTTCTTTTCTTTTCCTTCGTTTTCTTTTCGAACGACCGAAAGCCAGTCCAATTATTTTCTCTTTTATCCTCTTTGGGCCTCATTGTTCTCTTTGACTTTTTGGCTTTGAAAAAAGATCAATTTGTTGAAAAATATCCAGAAAGAGGTTTTTTATTAATATTCTCCCCTGAAGAGTGAAACTGGAACCCTTCTTTGCCTCATTTGGCGTTTTAAGGTCTCAACATGTTGAAAATCATTCAGAAAGGGATCTTTTATCAATTTTCTTCACTGAAACTGAAGCTTTTCTGGCCTTTCTTTGACTTTTAAAGCTTCAACTTGTTCAAACTCATCCAAAAAAGGTCTCATACCAACCTTCTTCACTAAAAAGAGAAACTGGAGCTCTTCTTTGCCTCATTCGGCTTTTTAAGGTTCCAACCTGTTGAAAATCATTCAGAAAAGGATCTTTTATCAATTTTCTCCACTAAAACAGGCCTTCTTTGGCTTGAAAAAATTCATTCTGTTGAAAATTGTCCGAAAAAAGTCCTTTATTAACCTTTTCCCTGAAGGAAGAGACCGAAGCTTTTTTGACGTTATTCACCTTTTAAAGGTTCAAACTGTTGTAAATTTTTTCAATCAGTAGGAATCTTTCAGAAAAGATCTCATATCAATTTTTTTCACTAAAACAGAGACTGGAGCTTTTTCTAGCCCTATTCGGCTTTTGAAGTTTCAATCTGTTGAAAAATCTCCAGAAAGAGGTTTTCCAAGATTATTTCTCACTGGGGAGCGTAATGAAGCTTTCAAAAAATGTTCTTGATCCTTCTCTCGAGCCTTTTTTTGAGTCATTTGGCTTTTCAAAGCTCAGAAAACATAGAAATTGAAAAAAACCCTATTTTTGAAGTTAAGAACTGTGTTTCCGACTCAAAATTCCGCTGAAACCGACAAAATCTTTTCCCAAACAGTTCGCCCTAATTTTTTCTTTTAATCTCTGTTAAAATCTCATAAACAAATTCGCCAACTTCCTTGTTTTTGTTGTTGAAGATAGACCAATTTGTTGATTTTTCTCACAGTAACATCAACAAATTTGTCAAGGTCGAGGAAGTTAACTCCAAGTATTTAGGTTAGCTAGTTGGTTGGGATGAACTTTTTCGGATTTTTTAAGCGGTGTAATTTTTGGTTATCATTAAAATTGGATACGACTTCGAAGGAAAATTTTAAAATATAGCTTTTCGAGCCGTTTTATTTTTGACTATTTTACAGAAATCCGAGCGTCAAGAGCAATTTTTAGAACTTGAATCAAGTCAAATCTGTTCAAATTCAAGCTTCTGTTGTAGAAAACTCGTGTAATTTCGATTTAATTGGATAAATTTTTGCTCAAAAAAGCTGAAAATATAGCCATTTTTGAGACGTTTTCCATCGAGATGTTTTCTGTAAATTGCTCTTTTTGAACTTTAGAACCATTTCTGAGACCTCAGCTACCTATAATTAACTCGAAAATCAACTTGAATCTTTCCAAAAAGAATAATTTTCCATTTTTCAATCATTTTTTATCCGTTTTCCTCCGATTTTCAACCCATTAACTAATTTTTTCGTTCCACATTCACTTTAATTTAAAGCTGAAACTCCCTGAAAACGAACTTGCGAATTCTTAGAGCTTTCCTATCAATTTTTCACCCACTCTCCACCTATTTTTCGATCTTTTCCCGCTCAAAAATAGAAATCACCTTGTTCTCGGCGTGGGTTTTGGCGGCGTTTGAAGCTTTCTCGAGACACAAGTCGAACAGGTGTTGCATCAAGTATCTGAATCGCCAATCTTGCTCTTTTTTTCTTCTTTCCTTGATTTTTTTCCCAAAGGGTTCTTGAAAACTGAGAATTTCTACAGTTCTTTCCTCATGGTTTTTCCAGCGAACTTTTTTTGAGAATTTTTTCAAATTAATGTTTAATTAATTTTGGGAAACTAACTAAGATACTCTTGTCCATAATTTTTCTCAGTAAAAAAAGAAAATCAAAAAGTTGAAGCGTTAAAGATTTTTTTCTTAGTCTTCAAAAATTTTTCCCTCTGGATTCTCTTCTTTAAAGTTTATCATTTAGAAAAAGAAACTAGGATATAAACTTTTTCAAAAAACCTGATTTAACTTCTTTCAGTCATGATCCTTTAAAAATGACTGTATACATCTAAATCCTTTTTTTCAAAAAAATATTTCAAATAAGCTCAAAAAAATTTGTTTTTTTATTCAGTCTCAATATCTCCAAATGTCCACAAAAAAATCAATCACAATTTTTTTAAAATTAAAGTGTTTGACAAAAAAATCAGTTATTTGATTTATAATAAATAGTTCTTACAATAACTTCACACTCTATCCGCCACGATTTTTGAACAGTCTAACCTGTCTGGGCTCTCTTCTCTCTCCTCTTTCTTTTCCAGACTAAAATCCCAAAAATATTGCCAATTTCCTGCAGAAAACTCCACTTCTGAGTAAAACTTAACAGCAAATCGAGTTGATTAAAAGACATTTCCGGGGAAAATTTATTTGTTTTTCCGGCTTTCAAATAATCTTGAATTTTATATTTATAAGGGTTGCCAATTTTTCTATATTTTTCATTTATTCCTCAGGCTTTTTTTCTGATACTTTGACCTTCAAATGATCTCTAGAAAGATAAATATTTTTTATCAGAGGTTTCTGATTATTCACAATGCAAAAATAGCCAACTACAACATGATTCTATAGGATTTTTGGGCGTGCGAAAGTTTATGAATACTTTAGACCTTATTTTATCAACAAATTCTGCTTTTTAGTGATGTTTTCAGCTTGAAAAATGCTTTTGGAGTTCGTTTTGAAGCTTGAAAATTATTAAAACTCACTTGGCTTCGGTCAAAGTCTCACAGCCGTCGAAAAGCTTGTCAACGGATTGTTTCGTGAATTCGTCTTCAGTTTGATCGCTTCCATCCTGAAAAATCCTATTTTTTTATAAAATTTATGTAGAAACAACTATTAGCCTAGCTGAAAGAAGAATGATTTCGTTTAAAAAAATAAACCTCGAGGAATCGCAAAAAGGTGCTTGGTAAAAAAATATAGAAACTTTATAAAATTTAATAAAGAATTTGAAAGTTTTTAGAACACTTTTTATAGAGGGATATGGAGAAAAAGAACCTTCCAATACTTTCCTGTTTCAATTCTCATTTTTTTAACAAAATTAAATAATTACTGGTTCTGTATTTGTGAGCCTTTCGTATACTTTGAAATTAAAATATTCATTCATAAACTTTTTTATTTCAATCAATATCAACTGAACTGATAAAAATTAGTTTTTCAAATTTCCAAGCCAATTTTTCCGAGCGCTTCCCTCTGTTGTTATTTACGAAACCCTTCAAAGTGCCCATTAGATTGACATTCCCAAACAATTTGTCACAGAGATCCGATTGATTCCATCACTACAGCTGACAGATTTTGAGTGTATTTGTGTGAAGTGGCCATTCACTTTTTGAAACATCAAAAAGCAAAGTCACGACGTTCTTAAATGTTTCCATCGGCTGTTTTTCAGAAGGTTATGAGGTTTCTCTTCTTTAATTGAGGTTCTTAGATCCTCCAGAAATATCCGTTAATATCAACCTCAAAAACTTATAAAATATTGTATAGTTATCAAACTTTCCAGTCCTCATGTTTCATCTTAGAACTTCGAACCCTCTTCTGCCCTCTCTTTTTTTTTCTCCCTCAAACATTCTGTTCATACTTAATGATTCATCTCTTCTCTCATCACTTTTTCCACACACACATTCAACATAAGCTCCGAGAATCCAAAGAAGACACAGCTCGACATTTTTAGAGTCCGTTTCTATGTCAAAAAAAATGTCGGCTCTCTTCCCTTTTGAATCTATTTAAAAAAATGTTCATTGTGTTTTTTTTTTCGGAAATCTTAAATTCTTGCGTTCCTTGGACGCTCTCCTTATCTATGAAACGGAGCAACCGACCAAAAACGGCTTGCGCAAACCAGCATTGAAAACCTAAGGTTCAACACTAGAGCTGCCTTTAGCGTTCAAATAGGCTTAACCAAAGGCCCTCCTTCTCTCTAGCTCTATTCAAGAACTTTACAAAAATTCTTAATACACTTGGTCGCACGAATTATGGCAACTATGGCGATGTGACCGACCTGAAACTACTTGCGCAAGCAAGCATTAGGAACCTAAGTCTGAACGCATAATCTGAACTTTTGTCCCTATCTTTCATTCAGCTCATATCCGAAGTTCAGAGTCTTCTTAAAATTTCGACGAAGTCACCTTCCTTTTCTGGACATTCTTCAGAGGCTAGGTGCAATCTTCCACAGCGGCTCTTTTTTCTGAAGACTCGATTTCCCGATATCCGGAAAAACCAAGAACCCTTGTCAGTGTCTATCCGAGTGGCGCCCGTTCAACCGTGAAAACGCGGTTGATTCTCTTTCTTGACGCTTGGTGATGAGCGCGTGGCTCGTGCCATCCGGCGGAGGCTCCCGTCATTCGCCCGAAACGTTCCCTCGCTTCATTCTTGCTCCCAAATAAAGCTCTTCCGAAAGCCATTAGTGGCGAAAAAACAACAAACAGCGTGTGAGGGTGGCCGTTTATAGTTTGCTCATTTTTTTCATTCAGAATCGTATTTTTAAAACCACATCTTCTAGTTTATATGGCCATTTTTGATTCCGGCTCTTTGAAGTCGCCCTTACTAAACCCATTATTATTCTTGCAATCAATCAAAGACTTAAATAATTGGCAAAGGGCAGATTTTATAATTTTTTGATTAATATGCTGTGTCCTTTTTATGTAGTAAAATGCCATGCTCGTTATCATATTTCGACCTTTCTAAACCCATAATTATCTTTGCAAAAAATGGAAGAAATTAGAGCTTATCATCTTTTTGTAACCTTCTCACCCACAAATCATCCGTCTCAAGTTCAAATACCAACTCGATTAATTCAATTTCCCGACCTTTGAAAATTCCACAATCTCGCCTTTCCATTCATTCCAATTTTAGGCTTCCCGGCTTCAATTTACCACTAACCAATTAATTTGGTGAGCAAGAGACATATAAAGCATCCATTTTCCTTCTTCCTGCTTCTGAAGGCTCTAGTTTATACTCCTTCTCGTTATGCCTACAAAAAATGTCTCATTTGGACGGAGTTTTTACTTTCAATAGGCTCACAAGCCAAGAAGCTTATATAATTATTCAGAGCTGTACTTTTCTCCCATTCTCACCAAAAATAGGATCTAGTCACAATTTGTTTCCTTTTAAAGCCATTGTGATGTTCGTATGACATCATTTCACAAAAAAGCTCTGAACACTGAACTTCCGCCGAATCCCTCCCTTCTGAATTTTCGAGTAAAGTTATAGGAATCGGGAATGTTCTTACATTTCGTATCAACGAAGTTGCGATTTTTAAAACGGCCATAGTTCATCGGAGCGCAGTTGATGCTGACTGAAAGAAAAAGTCTCTGGAACTTACTCTTTCTCATAGATTCTTATTAAGTCTCGATCATGAAGCATTTTTATTAAAATTTCTCTTTGCCTATCATCTTTTTTTTTTTGAAACTTGTTCGATTTTTGTCAATAATCCATATGTCAACAATGAGAAGGCACTGCAATAAAGATTAAAGTCCGTTAGAGCGCATTTGTCGTTTCCATTTTATTTGTTTAAAGATACCGTTCCCTCCGTATCTTAATATCTTCTCCAACCGTTTTTAACTGGTGAAAATTCCTAATCGGCTCCTGAACATCTTGGGAATGGCTCAAAGCGTAGCGGTCGCGTTACGGCTGCTTGGATACCTATTATAATCAACCAAAGCTCTTTCAAGCCCATTATATTCATTCATACGTTCTCCAATCTCATTTTCACTTACTAGAAAAGAAAATGCAAGTGGTCACTAAAGCATACTTATCCTCTCTAGTGATCTCTAAATTTTCCTCCCGCAATAACTTGTTGACAACCCGTCGCAATCGATCTTATCATCACCTTTCAACTTTTCAAAATCAACAAAAAACAAGTGTTTTTTTTTTCAGCTCAACCTCGTCTCGTGCGTTCAAAAAGTTCATTCACCTCACCCGAATTTCTCACACGGCGAAAAACGATTCGAAACACAAAACAACAAATATCCACACACTCATACACCTGAGGCAATTGGCACAGCTGACGGATCCCCTCCGAAACCACTGGAAGAACTGAAAACACTTCACCCGCCGCTTTCCCCTTCATTTTTCTTCTCTCAACTCGACTTGAATATTCTCAATTCCCATTGAGAAACAACGAAAATGGCAACGTCGTCAGATAAACGGTCAAGCCTAGCTAATGAGAAGCGTCCGAGCGTCCAAATGAAGGTTCGTCTGACCCTTTTTATCTCGGAAAATACTCGTTTTACTGCCAGATTCACAGAATTTCAAAAAATCCGGAAAAAACTCGAGTAACATTTCCGAAATCCCTTATTTCAGAACAGCTTCAACAGCGACGCCTACAAAGTGCCGATCAAGCAAATCTTGACAGCTCCCAGCCAATCTCACTCCCGCATCACTCCCGGTGGCCAAGTAAGATTTTTTCAATTTTCGATCTAGTCCAACTTTTCGGATGATCCAAATTGAGAAAAAAAAATCGTTGATTATCAAAGAAATTTTTCTGCTTCTCTCATGGTTTTTTCGAGAAAAGTTCTAGCCTTTCTCTCATTTATTGGTGAGAAAATAATCAGTTCCTCCGTTTTTTTGTATCTATTAGCTGACGATAAACACAACTCCAAACTTTAAAAAATATACTGAAAAATCGTTTTCGCAAGTCTCGATTGTAAGACAGACCTAGCCGGCCTAGTCCTCATTCGGCAACCCTTCTATGATTTAAAAATTCCCTCTCGTTCCAAGGCAGTTTCCAATAGTAACAATGTCCCAAAGCTCCAGATATGGAACGAAAAAATTCCAAATACGAGTTACACGGAACTTCCAAAAATAAACCCATACCACACTAAATTCCTTTTCTGAAACATCAAAAATCCCAAATTCCAGCTCTTCCTCTGCGCGATGGGCCTGATCATCAGCGTGGCGATCTGCGTCTGGCTCGGCATTTTCAGCCGCGAAAGCGGATGGCGACGGGCGGTTTTTGCCTCGGCCGCCGCCTTTTGCGCGGTCCTCTTCGCCCTTTTGACCTTTATGACGATTCGACGAGCAAAAAAGTGAGCCGAAATGAATAATTCCCCGGCATTTTGTTGAGCTTTTCAGTCCCCCTGAGCCGGAACCGCTTCCCGACCTCTCGCAACGACGCTCCACCATCGGCGCTCGCATAAGCAAACGCTCGATTGGGGCCGGAGTCAGCCAGTCGGACGACTGCCCATCCCAGGTTTCGATTATTCATAAAGATGGCCAAACTTAGGAAAAAGTTCACTAGTGAGTCTGTTCTGAGCCGTGCAAAGAAACCTTACTTCGAGCTGGGTAATTTAAAAATTCTCTGTCTAAAAATTCCAAAGAGAGAAGGTTTGAGTATATCGGACTATTAAAAGGTTCAAATATTCATGAAAACCTTTTTCGAGCTAGGTAATTTTACGTGTGGTTTTAGAATCACAGGAACAGCTATGTTAAGCGTTTTTCAGTGTCGAAAACTCACGAAAACCCCTTTTTTTGGAAAAAGTCATTGAATTTTCTTTTTAAAAACTGGTCTATGTTGTCCAAAGGACCATTTTTAAAGCTGGGCCTTCCAATTCTGCGTCTTCAAAATCCAGAAATCCGAAATTTTTGTAATTTTCGGGCAATAACCAGGCTTAAGAGCCAAATATCTCTTCTCTAGACTTTCAGTCAACCTTCGTAAATTTTACACAAATATTGCAGATTATAAGCTTCAGTTCTACTTTCAGGCTCAGTTTTAACCACAACTTCAGATCAATCTCTTTTTTTCATGAATTTACTTAAGTTAAAAATTCCTTGAAAGAGCTACTTTTGAGTTCATAAAATTTTTCGTTTAAACTTCTTGACCATGGCCTCGAATTCACTTTGAAAAATTAAATTCAAATTTCCAGGTCTTGGTAACTGGAGGACGAGGATCGCTTACCGCCACATAAGAAATCAAAAAATTCGAAAAGCCACTTAAGTTTAATCAAACTGGTCAGATTGCATTTCTAATTTCTTTTTTTTTCTCTTTGTAAAACGCTTCGACGCGTTTCCCCTTCACCGGGTAGTTCAGTTACGCGAAAAAACAAAAAATAACACAAAAAAATCGAAAAATTCTCATTAGAGCAGACTTCCTACGCATTATTCGCCCATTGATCCTCCATTTTCCTTTCCTTTTCTTTAAAATGTTGAAGAAACGAGGAATCCATCCAAATTACCGTTGGAGCGCATTTTCCTCAGTCGAGAGCTATTTTTTGCCACTAACCTTTGAAAATCGAAAAATTAGCGTTAAAACCCTTTTCCCTGTGCAATTCAATATTTACTCATCTTGTTTTTTTCATTCTTTTTTTCAGCTTTTTGTGAAAAAAATTCTCTCCCCCGTTTACTTTTTCATATCGGCTTCCCATTGAAAAATTTTTCCTTTTTTTCTTCTTTTTTTCAATTTTTTTGAAGTTGTACATACGATGCTAAGCACTTTTTTTCTATTGTTACATTGTCCTAAAACTTGCTATTTTTTTCACTTTCGTTGTGGAATTAAAATTATTTTTTTCGGGAAAAATAAGTATATAAAATTGCTAAAATTAAAAAAACAACGAGAAGTGGCTACTCCGCCTTTGCATCTCTCGAAAAAAATGTCCTAAAATTAGAAAAATACAAAATATTAACCTGTAATTTTTTTACAAATTTTTCGTTCACTTTAGTGAATTTACCACCTGAAACTGGCATCGCTTACCTAAGAATTTAGAAAAAAACTTCGAAAAAAATGAGAATTTCCCCTTCTTACTAACCTTCAGAAACTAAATATTCAAATCAGAAGGACTTTACCTAAAATTGAGAAAAGTCCAAATTAAACGAAATTTCAGAATCTAGAACTATTTTATTGTTAGTTATACTTTGCACTTGTTTTACCATGAAAAAAATCTAAGTAAAAATGGTGGAAAAAGACGCTTTTTCAAATTCTTCTTCACCTTTTTCACTGAAAAAAATTCATAATCTTAAAGATTTTTCTTTGTTTTTTTCCTTTGAAATGTTAGAAAAATTTCTTTAACCATTTTTTTGACTGAGTGATTGGACTTTATGAATTCGACAGATTTTTTTCTTTGGTTTTCTCTTACTGAAAATGTGATAAAAAATTAAAACTAATTTTTGAATGAATGAAACTCTGAAAGCCTATGATATAATTTTCATCCTTTTTTTTTCTCTCACCACTTGTTCGTCGACGTCCACGATGGCCTTCTGGGACTCAGTGATCTGTTCTTGGAGGTAGATCATTTTCTGCTTGGCGCTGTCCAAAGCCTCCATCAGGCCGTCGCGGTCGATGATTTCGCTGCTCGAGACGAAAGTTTTCTCCTGAATTTGGCTTTTTTGCGAATTTTCTTCAAATTACTTCCATAAGGAAGGTTATTCCGTTTGAAAATTGGACATTCTAAATAAATAATGAAGATCTTAGAAATCTCAAAATTAATCAAAACGAGGAGATTTAAAGATTTTTCCAAAAATAAACAAGATCCTAACAGTCACAACCTGCAAAATATTTTCGAAAAATGGACAGCTCAATGTTGAATAACTTCATTAAAACCGTTGAAATGGGCTTTTTGAGATCGCTTCTGACAACTTTTTGAAAATTGCGATTTTCATTATTTTTGCTTGAAAATCTGGTGTATCAAAAAATATTCACTTTCAATAAATTTTCCAACCGTAAAGTTAAAAACCCCTTCCTCGTCAATGGATTTTTTTCATTAACTTCTCTAAAAATCATCAAACCAAAATAAAATGCTTCGAAAATGAATATTTTCCATAAAATCGAAGAACCCACCAAAACAGCGATATCACTAATGAGCTTATGGCGTTCTTGCAGATATCGTTCAAGCTCATCCTCCATTTTTCGCACCAACTGCCTTTTCACTACCGACCTTTCGAGCTGAAAAATGGTGAAAAATCAACTATATTATTGAAAAAACAGTTTTCCAAATATAATTATTGATGTATAATATATCATTTTTCAACGTCTTGAACTTATAACCTTGAACAAGCGTTCTAGAAATTGAGGAGTGACCATTTAAGAGCTCCAATACAAAATAAAAATTCCAGATGACGTTAATCTTTGAGAAGTTCAATGCAAGTGGCCACTGGAGAGTTCGAAATTAAGAATTACTTTTTTGAGATATAATTAGAGGGACCGAAAACTCAAGTAGTCCCTTTAGAGGGGCCGAAAATTCAAGCAGTCCCTATAGTGATCACTGTAAAAATTCCTGAGGTAATTTTGAGTAATCCTTTGGATAACTAAAGCTCGTCTTCGGAGGGACAAAATGATCCTTGGGAAAATCGACCATTTTTAGTCCCACCGGGGTCCACTCAAACTTACCACACCCTACAAATTTTAAAGCTATTTCAAGCATCAAGAAAAACAGACTGAAAAGTAACTAATTTAGAATTCCTTGAAAAAAGCAATTGAAGCCTTCAATTTTTCGTACTGACCATCTTCTCAATGGCGCTCCACTTCATCTTGGCCTGCTTCGGGGAGAAAGAGAGCTCTTTCTCGGGCTGGCCCGCCCGGAGGTTTCTTCTATTGACTGGAACTCGTGGGGTTCGCATCGCCGCTGCCGTCGACGTCTTGTTGAGTTGGGCACGAGCTGCGGCTTGTTGTTGGGCCTAGTAAAAGAGTTCAGCTTTGTCATTCCAAAAAGAACATTTTCCCAATAAATTTTCCTTTCTCACAAGTTCGTTTGTTATCGGTTAAACATTGAATGAAACTTGGCTACGGTACGCTTCAGGACCTTATAATTCCAAAGCAAGGAACAGATTATTCGATTCTCAAAACATCTTTTTTCATAATTAGAAAGATTGAGAACTGTGAAGGGACAAAACTCGAATTTAAGCCAAAAATGGAGAAAAAACTTTTTCTCTGAAGCAGGTGGTTCAATGATTTCAAGAAACTTTCAAAATTTAAATCGGGTACTTAAAAAAAAAAACTTGAAAACATGGAAAGATAAGTTTATGAAACAGAAAGATATTAAAATAATGCAGAAGATAACCAAAACTATCCCGAAAAATAGGTCAAAAATCCAATCAGGCGTCTAATTTATTAAGTGATGTCTCAATCAAGGAAATTCCATCTCAGAATTATTTTTTTAGAACTCTGAAAAATATTAAATTTCGGCAAACTATATACAATATTCAAACGCTTTTTGATCTTCCAATTCTGCTCTTTCCGACTTTTCGAAAAATATAATTTTTTGTTACTTGTCCAATTTGAAATTTTTGATGATGTTCCGAGGCAAAATTTATCAGCTAGAACGTCTAAAACTTTCATTTCTTTTTACCGGAATCCTCAAAAATCAGATAAACTCTGTTTTCTCAAGGGTACCCCCTTAGAATAAAAAAACAATAAGTGAAGTATTTTCAATGAATACAAAAATTTTTCTTATTTATATTGTATGTTTTTTTCATTCTGGTTGGTCTAGAACTCCATTTAAGTTTCGAAAAAAATAGAACCTATACAAATTTTTCTACTACTCAAACGTATTCATTTTCACATTTTATTCATTTTGGTCGAACTATAGGCCCAAAATTTTCTCTAAAACATCCTTGAAATCTCAGAAAATGGACCAACCCTCTCCTTTCTCAGCTGGCTGACTTCCACTGTCGTTTTCTTCAAAAACTGCTCCCTCTGCTTGTCTTTCATCTCCAGGGTTCGGATCTTGTTCGCTTGCATCCTAAAATTCTTCTTTTTCAAATAAGCCAACAAAAAAAACATCATCATAAAATATAGAATCAATTCTGAAAAAGTGACGCAGTGTCTCGTTTTATAGCTTCTTCCTTTTTTGCTTGCAACAGTCTATGCATTCTTGAAAACTTTGGTGCTTCTTATGGAAGACGAGGGAAAAAAAAGTTTTTTTTCTTAGATCTTTAAAGGTTGTAGAACATTTTTGATCAAAGCTGAGATGAGTTGATTCAGTAGGATGAGCTCGATAGAAGTTATTTTTTGCACCCGACTCAAAAATACTTTCGCAAAAGACCCTGGAAAAACATTGGAGTTTCCTGAGCCATTCCAAGTGCGACCACAATAAATACTTTTGACACTTTCTCTACGTGGCAATCATGTTGAAAATTCTATGTTTGATCTAGGATATATATAGTTCACTCGGCTGCTAAAAAAAAATTCATCCGACTCAAAACTACTTTCGCAAGAGACCATGGAAAAACATTGGAGATCCCTGAGCCATTCCAAGTGCGACCAAAACCAAAAGAACTATTGAAGACTTTCTAAACGTGGCTCTCTTGTTGAAGATGCATGTTCCATCTAGGATATATATAGTTCATTCGACTTCTTAAAAATGCACCCGACTCAAAACTACTTTCCCAAAAGACCATGGAAAACATTGAAGCTTCCTAAGCCATTCCAAATGCGACCAAAACCCAAAAAAAGACATTTAACCCTTCTAAACATGAAAATCATGTCAGAGCCTCGTTTATCCCTTTGTAGGTCTCTACCTGGATTGCTTGTCCCGGGCAGCCAAGGCCTTGGCGTTGGCCTGAGCCTGCTGCTGCTGGCGTTTCTTCTCCTCGTTGATCTTCTTCACGAGGTCGACCTTCATCTTCTTGAGGTCCTTGAGTTCGGACTCGTACTGTCGCATCTGCTGCCGCTCTCGCTCGCCCTTCTCCTGCAGCTTCTGGTGTTCGCGCTCCAAGGCTTGCAGCTTCTTGTACTCCTTGCGCATGTCGGCGATCTTCCTCTCATATTCCTCTCGGATTCGCTGAAAATTCAGTTTCATCCCTTTTTTCTGCTTATTTTTTTCCCCGAACAGAAGGCAATATTCAAGTTGCCTTTGATGTTTTTTTTGAGTCGATTCCTCCAAGATTAAACTGTTTTGAACTTGTATCATAGGCCGAATTTCGGATCAAAACAAAATCTTTAGAGTTTGAACTTCTCTCAATAAATGATTATTAAGACGAAGTTCATTTTCTTGAGATTTTTTAAAGGTACTGTTCTGTCAGAAAAAATACGAAAAACAGTTTCTGAAACTTTTTGGAATTCTGGTGACTATTATTTGTAACACTCTGATGGAAATCCCATTCATAGAAAAAAAAACGCTACTTAGAAAGTTTCAGAAAGATTGATATAAGTAAATGGTGAGCAAAAAATGGTTACCGAATCTTTTCTGACGATACTTTATATCTTCAGTAAAATAATTTTTGAGATGTTAATGTCCCATTTTGGAGCTTCTCGATGAAATTTAATAGAAAGAAATCCGAAAAATCTGCAGAGAGACTTATTAAAAAAATGAAAAAAAGAAATGAAAAAAACTTTTTAATAAAAAAATCTCAACATCCTTTAGCAATGTACAATACGTTTCATAAGAAGCTCATAAACTTGTTATAAACTTACAAAATGATTAACTTGGATGACAATTCATAGATTTAAAAAGTTGAGAACCTTTCCATGCTTTCTAAGTACGATAAGTGAATTTGAAAAAAAGCTTGTTTTTGAATATTTGCGCTGTTTAACCCCCCATATTTGATTTCTGACGTTACTTATGATGGGAAATTCAAAACCCATCAATTCTCTCAGAAACTTTTCAAGACCAGACGTTAGTTTCAAGAAAAAAACTGCAGAAAAAGACGCTTATCCAATTTTTTCAAACTTCCCCAGCTCTAAAACTTTCTAGAAAAAAATTACTAATCCTCTTGAAAAAAATAGAGAAAAACCCACCATTTCCCTTACATAAATGTTCACAACCATCTCAATAGTCAAAATGTACAGCGGAGCCACCGAGAAATCGACACAAAATTAGCAAAAATGATCGTTTTCACATGAGCGGCCAATGTGTGACGGAATCGATTCCAGATGTGCAGGACGAGAAAAAATTGCACTGTGAGAAACTTTTTTCGTTTCGTTTCCTTGATCTTATTTTCAACATTTTGTGAGAAAAGATAACATTTTTATTTTACGAAAAGCTGTAATTTTTAAAGCTTCACCGTAAACTGATGGGCTACTTTTCAATTTCCTTATTTCAAAAACAAGTTTTTGTCCCTTCAAACTTTCAAACTTTCAAACAAAAAAAAAAAAAGCTAGACGAGAGAGGGATGATGAACTGAAGATACGCAGAGAAACAAGGTCCTCTCACTTCTCTGGCGTCTCTTCAAGGGGCACTGGTTCAATACTTACCCCTAATTTTCGTTTTAGAGAGAGGGCGAGGCCCCAAGAAGAGAAGTAGAGAACCAGATTTTTTTGATTTCTCTGGAGTCTCTTCGGAACGCCGCTGATCTCTCGCTTGCACCGATTTTCAGCATATATAAAAATTTCTTTTCGCGAAAAAGCTAAAAAAAATCTGATTTCTCTGTGTTCGTTCCCCTACCAAAGTGATATTTCAATCTTTCTGCAACCTCATCTGGTGAGAGAAAAGAGAGCGCAGACAGGTCAGATTTTTTCAAATACATCTACATAAAACTCTATTTCCTATGGCCTGCATGAAATTGCTCAAAGAGTTCGCGTTTTTGTCCTAAACTTGCGCCCGACTTGGAGCGACTTTCTTCTACCGTTCCTTTAGGATATTGTGACGCACAAGCCGTTTTCAGTCGGACGCGCTGAAGATTCAAAATAACTGCGCCATTTCAATCATTCTTAGCAACACCAAGATGCTTCAGAACGGCTTTTTTCATTCAAAACTCTACCTTGGCCTGATCGTCGCTCATCTTCCCCGTCTGACGAGCTGCACCCTCCGCCAGGATCTTATCTCTCTCGGCCTCGGTCGCTTTTATTCGTAGTGAAAGCTCCGAAAGTTTCCGTTCATAAGTCACTCGGAGGCTTTGAAGACGATGTTCAGAGATTTCGAGCTGCTCGATGAGTCTGAAAAATTAAACTTGAGGTTGGCGATCAGCTTGAAGAAAGAGAAAAACTAAATTTTTCAAGTTGGAAGTAGAAAGATTGGAGATTTAATACTACTACGACCTTCTTTGACCTAACTTTTTTGACCGAGAAAATCTTTCTTCTGTTCTTGGAGAAAATCTTACAAAAAATTTTCAAACAAACCGTTCTTTGATGGAGATCTCCGACATCACATCGTTAAGATTGTCCTGCATGGCGTTGCATTCTGAAATTCACAGAAATTCACCATTTTTCTAAAATTTTTATCGCTCAAAACCTTGAAAAAAAACTTTTAGGGAGATATGAAAAGGCTCCGAATCGTGAAATCTTATCTAATTTGTTAAGTTATTTTGTTACTATCAGACAATTAGCAATGGAGCGCACAAATCTCGCCTGATGTGGCTATTTTGAAGACCAGGTCCCACAGGGACAGTTTATGACGCTGGCTCCTACTTAAAATTGCCGAACAAGTCTTTAAAAAAAATTATCAGCGCTAAGTGGTGAAAAATGAGAAAAAAATGGGAAAAAAACAGATTTTCAATGTTCTGTTAAAAAATATTCGTACCAAGGTACTATCATCTCATAGTTGCTTTAAGAAACTTGTTTTTCAAGCTCATCTTTTTTTTACAGTGACTCATTTTTTTTCCTCTCAAAATCCATCCTTATTCCCCATTCCACGCACCGGCATCCTTCTTCATCTCCTCGGCCTCGTCCTCATCCATGTCTTCATCACGGTCCAAGTCATCCTCGTCCAGCTCGTCGGCGTCGTTGCTCGTCCCATCTTCCTCGGTAGCTGCTCCAGCTCCCAGAGAAGCGTAGTCCGACGTCTGACCAGCTGCAAAACGCGGAAAACTCTATGGAAAAATGGCCTATAGGTCTTTGAATGTTTTTCTTTTGTTATTTTCTAAGTCAGAGCTTTTCGATTTTTGAAGCTGGAACTAAAAAATATTGAAACGAAGAAAAATATAGCAAGGAATACGTTTTGCAGTACTAAAAATGATCCACTGATTATAAAGTCCTTTTTTTAAACTTGAAGTTTCGTGCTGCTTCTGAACAAAACTAGACTTTAAAAAAGTCGCTGACTTCAAAAATATTAATGAAATCTCATGAAAAGACCCTTTTCTGGCCAGAACCTACCATCAGCCGTGGCAAAGTTCTTCCTCTCGCGGTCGATTTCACTACGAGCCATGTCGATGAGTTTGTTCGTGGTGATGTTTGGCGAGAAAACGCTGTCTTGAGGGATTCGTCCAGTCGCCTAAAATTTGCCTGTTTTTGCTTAAAAAGACTATTTTTTCTTTCAAAGACGACGATTAAATAAAAAATCTGGGATTTGTTCTCAGACACCAAGCGCGCGCGCAAATTGATACCGACCTTTAAAGTGATCACTGAAGAGACGTTAACACCCCTTGAGGGATCACTAAATGACTCAGAAGGTGCCTAACGTTCATATAAGTGTTCTCGAACCTCGGTAACGCGAGCCGGACGCTTCTGTGCATTTCTAGTGACCACTTTAGTGGTGTAAGCATTTTCACGTGCTCCTATTTCTATATCATTCGTGAAGATACTCTGATAGTAAAATGAAAAATTCAAAGCTTCTTTTTCTCAAGTTTCGCTGGATTTATTTCCCCCTGATCATTCAAACTATTTTCATTTTCAATATACATCCGTTGACCTTTTCCTGATATTTCTATTCACCTGCGCCTTCCAACGGCTCATTTCCTTGCGCAACTGGTCACAGGTCGCCTGGGATTCGTACAAAGAAGATTTGGTCCTTTCGAGTTCCTCCAGATATTTCCGGAACGTCTTCTGGACCGTGTCAACTTCTCCATCCTCGCCCGTATTACCATTGACAGAGTCTAAAATCACAAATTTCCCTTTTCTTGTTGGAAATTTGAAGAAACCTGAAGATTGAAGGGCCGCCGAGTCTTTGGCCGCCATTAAGTCTACGTTTCGGCTTCTCAGAATCTCATTCGTCTCCGTCAAGGCCTTCACTCGGAATCGCAACTGATTCACCTCGGCCTCAAAATACAGATTTTGGGGTTCAAATGGCTCAACTATATCCGTTTTTAAGATTTCACAAAAAATATTTTCACTCAAAACATCAAAAACGTATAAAAACCGATCAAAAAAAAAATCTTAATCCAATGACTGAAAGCCCTGAAAATTTTCTAGATGCAAATTTCTAGTTAATCACTTCTCTCTTTTTTTCGAACTCAAAATACTTTCAAAGACTGTACCATTGGAAAAAGTTAATTCTACTACTTATGACGGTCCTTCCGAAAAAAAACTTCTTCAAACTCAAACTTTTCTAAAGACTGAGCCGAACTCTTCAATATTTCTGTTGCATGACAGTTTTGAATACAAAATGCCCGCTTCCCTGTTCTAAATTTTTTTCGAATTAAGACAGACCTACAAAAAATTTTATACATTTTAATGATATTGGTAACACTGAAAGAAGTGAAAAAAACCAAAAAAATTTAATCATAAGAACCAATTTTCCGTTTTTCTTTGAATATGGGTCCATTTTTTTCCGTAATTTGCCAAAGATAACAATCATTAACGACCTCAGTTGAATCACCTTTCTTGGCTACTACGGTTTGTTTCCTACTAGTTTAAAAAATTTTTTTCTTTAAAAAGTACTAAACTTCCATGGGGCGTAGAGTGCTTTTACTGTTTGAGAAATTTACGAAAAAAAATTTTTTTTCGTCTTTTCCGTGCTATTTCGAGGCATTTTCAGGCTCCTCAAGATTTTTCCAATACTTTCCTAGTAGCCATACTTTCACGTAAGTCTTTTTCCACTTTCAATTTATGAATCTTCAAACTCACCGTGAGTAGAACATTCTCATGATACTGATCATTAACGACTTCCGTTCCGTCGGAATCCAAAGTCCGACGGCCTTGCTTGAACTCGAGAAGCTCCGATTCCAAAGAAGCGATTCTTCCGCGCAGCTCCCCGATCATTTTCGATGATTTGTCCTGGTTGGCGACCACCTGAGGAATATATTTTTATAACTTCGAAGAAAGGAGTAAAGTCACCTTGTTCTTGATCTCCTTGGCCCTGTTCGCGTATTTCATCGTGTTGAGGGTCTCGACGAAATCGCTGTCACTGGGTGAGACACAGGCGATCATCAAAGTTCGGCTGGAAAAGGGGAAATTGATTATTAGGATTTTCAAATAAAGACATGTATTTCTTGACTTTTTACTTCGTTTTATTCATATTCACAAATGGACAGCATTTTTTTAAATGTCGTAAAGTTTCTCTTAACAAGGAAAATCATTTTTCTTTGCGGTCGGGCTGTCATTGAAAATTGGTCAGAACACTCTTTGATGTACTAGAAAACGGTTCTGAAGGTCTCAACCTGCACAACTTTCTAGTTTTTGAGATACAGCGCCTCAAAGTGAAAAAATTTTTCAAAAGCTATCGAAATATGCTATATTTCAAGCTTTGGGCACTTATTTTTCGAAAATTATGAAATTGAGCAAGCTGAGAGTTTTAGAAAATTCTTTTGATAGATCGAGGAGTATTCTGGCCAAACTTTGGGCGGATCCTAACCGCAAATAAAAACGACCTATCTTGTAAGCCTAACCATACCTCCTCGGATTCAAAACTATTTTTATACCCCTTTTCAAAAAATTTGTAAGCCAAATTGTCCTTGATTGTGTTTTTTACATGCCCACTTATGCGCATTGAAAAAATTTTGCGTGATCCAGATTTACAATGAAAATGACTCTTCGCTTCGAGACCTTTCTGAAACCATCTATGCGTCTTTAAACTACACAGCAAGACCTTTTAAACTAACATTTTTTCTTCAGAACACTTTATTAAGTTTTTCGAACATACCACTCTTTATTAACCTCTTTACTTCAATAAACTTTCAACTGATCTTTTTTTCAATCTTTTCCGCTTGAATTGAAATAATTAATCCTTTCTAGCCTTGAAAATGCTCAAAGACCCTCGAAAGCTTCACCTGTTGCCACCAAGAGAGTCTTGAAGCAATCTTGTCAATTTGGAGTCGCGATACGGTACATGGGAAACTTTTCCAGTTGCTCCGCCCAACGCGGCGATGACATTACCGAGGGCTAGCTGAAAATTAATTCTTTTTTATTTATTTTGGGCTTCATCTTTGAAAAAAATTTTTTTTGAATCCCTGAAATCTCAAGTAGATATGACTGTATCAAAAAGAACCAGGTTAACAATTTTTTAGATTCTTTTTTTAGATTCAGTCTAAATATAATATTAGCAGGGGAATTTTTTCTAAAGGCTCAACTGTTAACCCCACTATTCCAAGTACAATACTTATTGACTTTTTTTTCATTCTTTCTTTGATTTCTTACCAATCCGACGTTGATGCTGATTCCCTCCCTGGCACGTTCTCCAGTAGCTCCAGTCCTTTTCATTCTTTCCGATCCGGCAAGATCGACGAAATGAAACTTGGCCGACAGCATCTCCATCTCCATGTCGCCCTGGGAAATCGAAATGCTGAGAAAAATCAAGAAAGTTCGAGAAATAAATAAAGGACATTTCTGTTTTTAAAGGTGCTCACATGGGAGGTTATTCTCCTTCGCGGTTATGAATTTCCTGAAAATTGGCCAGATCACTCCTCACTCCCTACCGGAAGAAGATTTGAAAGTCTCAACCTGCACAAATTCCCCGTCTTTGCCATTCGCACTATTCAAAAATCAGAAAACCACTGACCGGCTTGGGCGGAGTTGGTTGTCCGTTCTCATCGAGGCTGCTGACGACACGTTGCTGCTTCAGATGGAGCGTGAAAATGGCGTGAGACCGGGACGACTGCTCGTTCATGTTGGTCGACGCCACCGTTCGGTTCAGAGCGCCGTTTTTCAGGATTTCCATCGTCTGGAAGCAAAAAGGAGGGCTAGGGATTGGATCAACAGCATTTGAAGCAAAACGACCATATAATTAGGCTCCAAAAACCTATTCAACTTGAAAAGTATTGCCTAAATTTACATTTTTCTAGTTTTCCTGGTAAACATTTGAAAAGTTTGAATGATAAAACTGATTGAAACAAAAAATTGTAAAATGCTCTTAATCTCCTAAACGAGAGTACGTGAGAGATGAAGAGAGGCCTGAGAAAAAGAAAAAAAAACTTTAAAAATCAATAAAATCAAAAACACTCTGAAAAAAACCTTATGATACTGCAATACAGGACCTCTAACTTCCAGCGAAAAAAGGATAACGTGATCTAAAGAGAGGTCAGAGAAACAGAGAAACTGCGTCTCTTCAGTGCCCTCGCTGTTTCACTCAAAATCAACGAACGAGTACAAAAAACTAGGTTCTATCTTTAAAATTGCCTTTTTAATGCAAGTATAGTCTTTCCACAGCAACTGGATAGTTTTCGGGTTTCTGCGTCTCTCTGTCTCTCACCTTGAAGGTAAGAGAAACATGGAAATAGCACGTCAAAATGGGAGCGTTGCCGTGAGGCGAGAAGGGTGCAGAGAAAAAAAAAATAACAGTTTCAAGTCGCCTCAAATGGACTATAGAGGAGAAAAATTCATGATTTTTCCTGAAATTTCAATTTTCTTCTTCACGAACCGTCTCCAAGTCCTGCACCGGTCGAACGGCAACCCCATTCAACACGATTTCTCCTCGATTATCCTCATGGATTCGGATCAAAGCCGAGGTTGCCCGGTCCTCCGTCAGCAGGTCCAGAATGTCGTCGTTGTAGAGCTAAACAGTGGATTTTTTTGTTCATTTGACCCTGGAAATGAATTTCAAACCTCAACAAACTGCACCGAGACTTCGAAGATCGGCTCCAGAAGGCCTTGACTTAGGGAACTCGACTGAAAAGATCTCCTCGTTGAAAAAAACAGGCATTCAAATTTTTTTACAACTCGGAAGTTACAGAAAATTCTTCGTTGAAAAAGCAGATAGAATTTTTCGATCAAAATCCAAAAATTGTCGCTTTAGTGAAACTTTTTAGTGAGAAATATCTTCTTGAAAATGTCTTTTTAAAATCATTTGAAGCCAAAAATAGTTTCTTCAACCAAAAAAAAACCTAGAAATGTGAAAGATATCGAATTGGGGACAAAAAGGCATCGCGAACGCTTTAAAAAACTGCACAAGCCAATAAAAATGAATGCCTAAGTTAAAGCTAATATTTATTTCTGTCAACACTACCTCCTTGTGCCTAAAACCCCTATAGGGGCCACTAAAGCTCGCAAAAGTGGCCCCTATAGGGGAATCAATAGATCAGACCCTAAACCCCTATAGGGACTACCTTGATTTGATCTCTAAGAACTCCTTCTACGGTCCCTACAGGTGCCACTTAAAAATCCCCAAGTAGCTTTTTTTGGATTTTCGCACGTTAACCCCTTGAATAATTGACTTTTCTACTTGCCCACGTGTGATAATGCACCTTGGACTCTGAAATCTTCCTGAAGACATGCTGGATCGCCCTGGGGATGACTCCGGCGTCGTGGGGATTCAGATGAGCCGTCGCGTCGAAGGCCGTTCCCATCGTGTGAGTCTTTCCGGATCCCGTCTGAAAATCAAGGGAAAATTGTCAATTGGTTTTGACGGAAGGGTGAACAAAAATAAGCTTTCAAAAAAACCTTATGGAACTCTTTTTAACTTGTAAGTAGCAAATACTTTTCAACGCACGGTTGGCATTTTGCCTTCCTTTTTTTCGTAGGGAGTTTTTTCTATCACGATTCAAAGTCGAAAAAAAAAAGTCAGAATAACCCGCTAATAATGAAATAAGGGCAAGGATCAGCCTTTAATCAAGCTTCAGAGCAAAAAAAACATAATCAAATCAAAAACGCATCCAAATACTTTTACCTTTTATGAACAAATAAAGGAAGGAAAATCATAGAAAATACCTTCATTTTCCCCATTTTTTTTTTACATATCTCACCTGTCCATATGCAAGAACAGTAGCATTGTACCCATCAAAAAGGCCTTCGACGAGTCTTTCGACGCATCCTTCGAAAACCGCGTGTTGCGGGGTGGGTTGGTCGAAAATGTAGTCATAAGTGAAGGAGCGATCTCCGCCGATGGTAACCTGAATTCCCAAAAGAATCATTTATTAGAGCTTTGAGAAACTCTTAGAAATTGTTAGGCGCAAAACATTAGAACGGCAGTAAAAAAAATCTTACCATGCACTTCTGATCTACAAAACTGCAAAAAAGGTCTTAAAGCAACGAAAGAATTTTATTTAATTGGGTAAACGGTCTTTTTCAAAAGGAACAACGGGACCATACATGGGCAGACTATTTTTAAAGGCCCTCGACCCCTTCTCCCCTGATTTTCTTAATAAAAGTTGATACTACCTCCCTGAGGCTAAAAATTGCATTATTGAGGTCAAAACTACCATCCTGAGATTAAAACTTAATTTTATCCCCTAGTTTTTCAAAATTTTTGTGAACCGACCCCTTGTCCCGGGCTGAAGGAGTTCTAAACTTTTCCATCTATGAACGGGTCAAACTAGAGGGCCATGTTAAAAAACATAATTTAACAGATTCTGAGAAAAGTAAGCTGATAAAAATCAAAAAATAAATGGAAAAAAGACGGTCGATCAGGAATATAGTCCTAGCTGCAAGATCAGCACCAATGGTAGCCTTTAAAGTGAAAATATGATTCCTACGACTCTTCAAAGAACCGCTCAAGCTGGATAAAAACTTTTCGTTTACTACGATTTTTGAAAAAAGATAATTAAACTAAACCATGTGAAAAACCCCTTCAAGTACCACCTCTACGCGGTGATGGGGAGGCAACGCCATTTATGGCGGCTAACGGTACACCGGTCACGCAGTTCGGCTTGCTTCTGCTAACAGAATGGGCGGTCTTTTTTAGCCCTGGCAAGGCAAAAAGGATAATAAGACCACAATTATGCTATAACACGTTCAACACCACGGATGGAACTTTTTCGCAAGAATACCAGTCAACCAGGACGACAACACTGGATGACCGATTGCATAAGATCTCCTGGAAAACGTGTGGTCCACGCTTCGATCAATAAAAGGCACTAAAAGGCAATAAAAGGTCGAAAGCGAAGATGGACCATCTAAGTATCTAAGTAGTAAGTAAGTATGTGAAAAAAGTAACTTTTAATTGATCTATAACAACCTTTCATCTTAAAAAAACAAAACATTAATATAAACAAAGATCAATGAAATTATACCTGCGGCTCCCCAGGCAGGACCGACGTGCAGACTCGACTCCCCTCAAGTTTCTCTCGAGTTCCTTGGGGTCGGATACTGCAAAAAATTTGTTAATAAGAAAGAAAAAAGTCGGCTCTTCAAGCTTCAGAAGAGCTTTTTCCTGTTTCTTTTTTCGGTTTTCGAAGCTAAATTTATTCAACTTTCTATGGTCAATCCCACGCGACCTCGCATGCTGATCAGGTGTCTCAACGGGTGTACCCGTATTTAACCCGTGTTTCTGAGGTTATTTTAGTCTCAGTTGGGCTAAAACGGGGGAACAACGGGTGTAAGAAAAATATGTAACCCAGCTGGGCTAAAGCGGGGTCTCAGTTGGGCTAAAAATTGCCAAAAGTTCTATCAGCTGGGCTTTTACGGGTTTAATACGGGGGCACCCGCGGAGACCCCGTGTTAGCACGGCGGGGTTACCCTGCTCAGCATGCGAGACTTCTCACGTTGCGTGTGCGACGCGGCTGTTTGGCGGGAAACTCGAATTCAAACACGAGTCTCCTTTTTTTAAAATGTATTTCTCTTGTCTTTGGCGCTCAAAAACCTTCAACAGTTTCAAAAAGAAAGAATAATCAAACGAAAAAAAAAATGTTTTTTTCTATACTTTTCCCCCAGCCAATCTACCTATTAAAGTCGGTAAAATCCAATATATTCCTAATACCAACTGATAAGGTGCCCCGAAAAGTTTCCCAAAACGGAGACCACTCCAATCCAATCACAGAAGCCAAGACACAAACAAACAAAGGAAAGCCAGCGCCGTGAAAAGTACGCCGAAGACGCACCCAGTTGCCCAAATATGGGCCCACAATCTCCAATTTATACTCTTTTCTAGACTTTTGAGCACAAGAAAAGGAAGAAAAACTAATTGAAAAGTATTCAAATTGATCTCGCAAACTTCGAAATTTGTCAGAGAGGGAAAGAAAACTAAATTTTCGAGGTTGAGAGATAATTTTGATTTCTGTGGGATTACTTTTGCACCGGGTATAAGTTTTTTTAAATCTTTTTTTCAAAAAAATTAAATTTCATACCATTTTTTTGAACTTTATCACGAACTCAACAGCTCAAATTGATTTTTTTATCTCCATTCAAACGAAAAAAATCAAAAAGTTTGGAAAAATTGGTTGAATTTTTTTAATATATGTACTCATAATATTTTTAATCAATAACTCTACGGAATTTGATTTAATTCGTCTCCTACCCATTAAATATTTGACGTTTTCCGAATATTTATCCTGTTTTTGAAACAGAAAAACATTTAAAAAGATATCACAAAAAATATAAGAAAAAACGAACCGTAGCGCGACTTGCACACATGTATCCTTTGCACTGGACGAACTGCTCTCCATTTTTTTCAGTTTTTTGGCGGCTTCGAAAATATCACCGCATTCGCGTCTGAAAATCAAAAATTCATTGAATTTCCGGAAATGAATGAATGCTATATATTTTTTTAAATTTGCGTAGTAGGAATTAGTTAACAAGGGAAATAAAAATTAATTAAATGAGAAGATCTTTTCAAAAATCAAGCCAAATTATAAAAAACGCTCAGTTTCGCCTTTAGAACAGTAAAAGAAGAATATGAGTGTGAACTCGATTTAAAAAAACCGAAAAAAAAAATGAAAAGAAAATTTTGAGCTTACCATTAAAGATTAAAAATGTACAGAAAGTGGCCTAATTAAACCTCTAACAAAAGTTGCGGTGCACCCCGCGTCGAACCGGCTATCGGGGTGCACCCCTCGTTGAACTCAGCGCGATTGGGTGCACCCCGCGTTGATGTTTTCGGTGCACCGAAAATTTGAAAACTCGGTGCACCCCTCGGTCATCTGGAACGATGTTCCGAACAACGTGTTTTTCAAATTTCAAGTTACGAAATTTGAAGTTTTCATTTGTTTTTTTATTTGTTTTAATTTATTATCACTCGCTTTTTTTCGTGTTTTTTTCTATTATTCGATGTTTTTAACATTACTAGTGAGTTTATGGAAGTAGTTTCATATGAGTTTCTTCTTCTTATTATTATTCTTATTGGCAAATGTTTTTGAGACATTTTTTTGAAATACAAAATTCGTTGTTTAATTATATTTTTCGATCGCAAACTTCTGGAAATGATGGATAAAAAGTAATCTTGCTTCCAAAAGCTCATGTAACTTTTTTTGAATTGAACATTTCGAATCGGTTTTTTTATTCCAACCTTTTTTGAAGGTTTTTTTGTTCAATTTAGTCTAAAAAAAGCTGTATTGAACATTTCATTTTTTTAAGTTGTCAGGTAATCAAGGCTTGCGCATTGATTTTTGCTAAATAGTTCGCTGGAAAAATGCTTTTTTTGAGTCTTTCAAATGTGCAGAAATCTTGCAAAGCCAAAATTATTTTTTTGCCTCGACATATTTTTTTCAATTTTTTTCGAGTCCAGCAAGCAATTTTTGAGAAACTATCAAAATTAAAAAAACTATTGTAGATTTTAGTTGAAAAAAACGGTTTGTTCTTAAAAAGTAAATATTTTTTTAAACTTACTTGTTTCGCTAACTTTTTCGCGATTATTTGTGATGCGTTTCAGGTTCATTTGAAGAGAATAAATTTATGACCATCGAGGAAGAGAGAGAAAAACGCATATAATATGAAGGTAATTTTTTTAAAGCTTTGCATTTTTAGTTTTGTATTAATTTCAGATAGCCGTACGACTTGATCCTGATTCATGACAAACAGAAGGAGTGCAGTCGAATAAAGGGGGAGCAGAGTAACTTAGCCGTTACTTTTTTATTCTTTTGTTTTGTTCTTTAATAGCTGATGAAAAGTTTGAATAGTTGACATTGGAAGAGTTTGTCCTTTTTAGCAGAAGAAAAAAATTAAATTTTTTTAAGAGCGCGTAGTTTGAAAAAAATAATTGATTCATTTTTGAACTGACTATGCTAGTAATCTTCGCGAATTGCGTCGAAATATACCAGGGAATGGTCTCTAGTCGCAGTGGGGCATCGGAATGAGACCAAGTTTTCTAGACATAGTTTTTCACGCTTATCAAAAATCTGGTTTCGAAAACGGTCGCGGAAATTTGGGAAATAAGTTATGTACCCTCAAAAGTCGAAAACTTCATTTTCCCCGATTGCGCTCATTTTTGGAGGTTATAGATCTTGTCCCTTTGACAACATAAAACCAATTACTGTTTTTCAAAAATTTTTTTGAAGCCCAGATATGAGAAAACCGCGCGCGCGCATTCTCTTATCATGTGCGGAGCTTTAGAATACGCCCAAAGTTTTTTTTTCGAAAATAAAAGCTTTTTTGAGACCAGAGGGTCAAGATCTATATGTCCTCCAAGAATAAGCTCAAGCGGAGACAGTGAAATTATCCGCTTTGAGGGTCCGTAACTTTTTCCCAGACATCCGCGATAGTTTTTGAGAACACATTTGGAATCAACATTGACGAACTCGCAAACACTAGGTTCTACTCTCTCGCCGGTTTCGCATTTTTCTGGGCGCGAGCTCGCATTTCTCTCGCAATTTGAAAATGTTCGAAATGCAAGGTCGCGCCGAGAAAAATGCGACATTTTTGCGAGTTTGTCGATAACCGCCAGTGTATCGCGTTTATCTTGGCAGTTATTCTTAGTGAATATGTTTAGAGAAGGCTTAACGTGAAGTTGGCACAAGTCAAAAAGATCAAATTGGACAACTTATCCTTTTTTTCAGCTTTTTCCGACGTTTTTTTATTCACATCTAGCTCGCTATGAAAATAATTTCCATCTTTAAGTATCGTTCGAAAAAAAGAGAAAACATACTGACAATGTTTTTAAAAATTTGAACACACGTTCTCCGAAATTTTTCGAATATACGTTGGTGATAATTTTGATGAATAATTTTAAAAGATTTTTTTAGCTGAAGTTCATATCAAAGATACTATGCAAAATTTTTTTAAACTCATGTAAACAAGTACCGAAAAGCTCCGTATAAAAATTTAGTGTATAAAAAAATCAAGGCCATCTGAGGTCCCGGTTTTTTTATAGAGCTATAACAACTGCGAAGTCGTCATTTTGCCAACACAATTGATGTTTCCAAAGGACATTTTTAGAAGCGAAACGCTTTACGAGGAAAAAAGTTAGCTTCTTACAGTAATTTTGTCTTAGTAGCTCTAAAAGTGTGCGGAGCGTTTCGGTGCCTGAAATAAAAAAGGTTTAATAGTATGTGATATGAATTTATGCTCAAAAAATCATAATTTTCAAAATTATTGTACCAATTAATTTCCCAGTTCATAAAATTTCTCGGAAATCATGTGTTAAATATTACCAGTCAACTTTGTAAGTGTTATGAAGCCTGTTCTGTTTTTTGCCTAATTTTCTTCAGTACTATCCACTCTTTCTGTTGTATTCTCTTATTATTCAATTTCTTTCTCCTGATTTAATTTTTCAGTTTCTATCAATTTTTTTCGATTTATGTCTACTTTTTTTAACATGCTCTCACGATTTTTGGTCTAAAGTTGGCTAGATGCTTAGAAAAAGGGGAGAAGGCGCAGAAAAACAGCTCTAGAGACCTTTTTTTCTTTCTCAAATTTTTGTAAACGTTGTTATTTTTTTCTTTATAAATCTTGTAAATGAAATTGTCTATCCTCGAATATTTTTTTCAAATTCCCTATTTATTCGCTGTAATGTTTTTATTTTGTTTCATTGTCTTATTATGTGATTTATCATTTAATAAAACATATAAATTGAAACGTGGTCTCAATTGATGATATATATGGGATATAGAAGTATAAAGGTATTTTAAAAAGTGCAAGAAGCAAAAATTGAAAAAAATGAGTTCAGTGCACCCCGCGTTGGACTTTCTCGGTGCACCCCTGGTTACACTGCGGGGTGTACAGGAGAGTTCAACGCGGG